TGACCATTACCACCATTCACTATTATTTTAAACACAGAATTTCAACCTCCCATCCAGGGCACTGTCCCCTAATTATTTTTAAACTGTTTTCACTCACTTGCTGAAGCAAAAGGCCCCTAACAAAGCCATCACCCTCGTGCTGCTGAAACCCCATCAGCACTCTTGGCAGCAAACATCGAGAGACAAGCATGAAGCCAACACAACATTTTAGTATTGATTTCTCTAAGAAATTTAAATCCCGTAGGGCATAAACATCAATTTAATCTGTATGCAACTACAAAATGGCTTCACTCGCAGCGTTCCTCATTTCAGCCAAAACACTGCTACAACTCGAGCAGAAACACAGTCAGCAGTGAAGGCAAAGACTGGTAGAACAAGTACTCCAAAGCTGCTGATAATTTGTAAGAGAATTGGAGACTACAACCATAGAAGCCATTCCTGTGAGGGTCCCAAAATCCGTGGCACCTCGCCTTGCCAAACCCGAGAGCCACTTATCATCAAGCAGAGTAGTGACAGCCTCACGCCTCACCTTTGGGCTTCTGTGCCTCCACCTGACAAGGTGAACAATGAAACACAACAGCTCCACGTTACACTAATTGATATTTTCTGAGGTCCCCTCGCTCCATTAGACCGCTCTCCCTGCAGACAAAGAGGCACACGTTATTACTACCCTCAGCCCACTGAAAAGAGCATCAGATGAAAACATCACCCGAAGAAAAAAGGAAATTGGGGAACGTGGAGTTTGCCCTTGTGTGATCTTAGACTGAGCTCTCCAGAGTGAGAATGCGTATTTTCTGACTGCTGGAAAGTCAGGCCCAGCATGCTCTGACATTTCCTCATTTTTCTAGCACTGTATGACTGCTGTTTTGTGTAAGGATGCATCCCATTGTACACGTGACCAGCAAGATGCATTTTCACACACTCGAAACACCAGTAACATATGGCACTTCAAGAAAAAAAAGCATCTCATTCTTCTAACAGTGCAAAAACACAGGCATGTCTGCATCACCCCAACCAACACACAGGCACCAAATGCTGTCAGTAGAATTCAAGGCACCAACATTATCTGCAAGTGATGGATTTATGTACGTAACAAACTGTAAATTCCATAATAAACACAGACGCGGGATTTTATGGACAATGCTTTCGCTTGTAAAACTTGGCACCTTCTATCCATCTCCCCCTGCTGATGATAGTTAGGTGGCAGAATCAGATTCCTAAAGGTACAAACATGACACAAACAGCACAGCGGGTACCTAAAAGTATTAAGAACCCACCAACAGAGGTACAAAACGTGAACACTGAGAGCCATGCCTGAAGCTAGCAGCTTCTACACAAACACACCCCTGCCCCAGATTATTTTTCTACCTCCAAGGCAGGATTTATTCATTGCTGCTGCAATTCCACAGCTCTAGCACACAGCATTCACGCACATACTGCTCAGATTGCCAACACAAAGGTTCCTATACTACCAGCACAACATTGCAGTATCTATTGGCTGCTTGTGCAAACACCACCAAACATCTGCTTCTGTACTGCCTTCCTTCAGCATACCCAACGCACACCATGGCAATGTTTACTTCACCCACCAGCGGCCAGCAGGGTAGATTTTGCTCCCAAAAATAATGTTTTGTTGGTCTGCACCAGGACAGTTTCACTGGATGAGAGCAAGGACCACCATAACATTCTCTGGCCAGTGTCAACATGAAGTTTAAGACTGCTTGGTCAGGAGTAGAATCAACTCTGAAGTTTATTAAAGATCATTATGAAGATTATTAATGCAAATACTGGCAGATCACTCTAAGCCACTGGAAGTTTTATAGCTGCTGTGATCACCTGTGTCACCGAGCTGCACATGCTGTCATTTCTCTGTAAAGTTGCCATGGTTTTGACCAGAAAGGATGGGTATGTTCCTTACTACAATAGGTCCCCAAACCACGCACCAAGCATGTTTACACAGTCAGCATCTGAATTCCAGTTGCAAGCTTAGCTTTCAAAACGGGCTGGCTGTAAGCAGAAGAAGGAAGTGACAAAACAGAAGGTGTTTATGATATAATCAAAATCCAGGAAAATAAAGGCAAAACAGCAAACCTTCCCCTTATCTGCATGAATCTCTGAATGAGAGGATGTAAACAACAGGCACAGACCAAACTTTGCTTGTTTGTTTCTAGATCACAACGCTCTATCCAGCCCTTAAGCAAAACAGGATACAGGGTGTTACTGAATGATTTCCCCTGAAATCTGATTGAGAAAGATTAGAGCAATTAGAGCAAAGTGACACACACTTTTAAAACCCTTAAATCACGATTAATGTAAGGTCTAACTTTTCTCTCAAGGATTATCTGGTGACTCTGAGCCATTTCCAGAACAAGGCTGACACACACATTCCAGCCTGAAAGAAAAAAAAATCATGAGGCAGAATCCCCTGCCCTCTACTGGCACTACGAGATGCACTGAAGCCTGTGCACACACCCACAGCCGAGCACAAACACAGCAGCTGAAGAGCTGTTTTAATTTTCTTTATACTAAGATTTGTAATTTGTGAAAGATCTATAATGTATCGGACACATCAAACTGGCTGCAAAACCTTACATGTGAAATAATATTTTGGCATCACTGCACTTCTTCCTGCAGAGCCAGGTAGACCGAGGAGATTTAAAATACTGCTAGCAAGATAAATACATTCTTTAGCCAAAAATAAATTCTAAGGGATTATCTGACATTCCTGATGTTCGCAGTGCATATCCAAGAACTCTGACAAACAGAAATATATTCTACAGAATTCTCTTCCACGCACACAGCTTTCTGGCTTACCTGCTGCCTTCCAGGTCACAGTCAGCCAAAGTGCATTTGGCCCAGGAACTGAGAGGCAGGTTCATGACTATGCAGAAAGGATTTTCCAGCACCTCGGTACCAGAGCTAGGGAAATTCTCAGCCATGATTCTGGCTCATTTGCACTATTGAGATGGTACCATATAAACCTTGGGATACCACAGGGAATTGCTTGCTGTGACTGACCATGTCACTTCCATCTTCTGTGGTAGATCAATTTAATAAGTATCCTAATGTAACTTTCTGGATCTTGGGAGCAGTACTTACTGTATTCTCTTATTGGTGAAAACAACAAACATCAAAAAAAAACACACAAATGGTTTATGCTGCTGTACTTACATTTTTGAATGCAAATCTTGATTTCTGGAAAAAATAAATTGCCCGCATAGACAAAGCCCAACAGGAATTGAATAAACACAAGGGTCCTGACTGTATCTTTCATCCAAAAGATAAATAAGCTTTTAAATCACATTAAAAACAAAAAAGCAGCCTGAAAAGGAGCTGCTATTAAACAACAGAAAGTCTGGTAATATCAGAGTAATTCCCACAATGCTCATCCGTACCCTGAAACACGTTCAGAACACACCCTGTTTTCAGAGCTGTCACACAACAAATGCAGATGTAAGCCTGCCATCACCACACAAACAACAGAATATGACATTTAAATGATACCACTAAGGAAAAGTGGGAGATGTATACAGCCTACACTACATACAGCAGTTCTTTCTTAAAGCAACTCATCTGTTAGTTACCAAATAGCTAGACCCTTGGGATGAAACAAAACAAAAGCATACAAGGTTCCAAGGAAACTACAGGAACACAATGCAATCACACCCATCTCCTTTTTGCTGCAGATACCTATAACACTAAAAAAAATAAAAATAAAGAAAATTCTAAAGCTTATGAAGCCACATCCTAAAACTAGTTAGGTTTTCACATGTTCTACTAAGCTTAAATGGGTAGGAATTATCTGTAAATTCAATTATTTCTGTGTCAGATTTGCCTGGTATCTTAAATCATTCTCCTCCTACTCTGGTGTTTGTCTAACCCCTGACCACTTAAAAATTACAAACGTATCCTCTTCAGCCATGAGCCTTCTAGCCTATATAAGCCAATCTTTTGGTACAGCAGAATCTAGGAATGAAGGATAAATGGGTATTTTAAACACAATCTATTTGAATCTCTGTCTCCATAAATAACCTCCACAATTAAATACTGTTTCAAGTATATAAGAAAACACGTAACAGGAAAATCTTTACAGTGTAAATTTATGAGGTGGTGTTGCCACGCCTTGTGATTTGTTCCAGTGTCTCTATATTTTCTTAACTTGCAGCTCCTGGACTTCCCTCTTCACAAACAAACCACTCTCTTTCGTGATTATGAATAAAAGTAAGAGATTCAAGAAAATAAATGGCTCAAAATATTAGGTCAGGATGGGCTGGTAAAATACATAAATGACCGATATTTTATTTTGTAAAATCACATGTTTCAAAAAGCCATCAAGAAAAGGTAATTCAATGTTTTTGAGATGCCACTGGCTGACATACTGGCAGAAAATGCCAACAAAACAGCTTACCAAATTTCCCATTTTTTTCCTAGAATTTCACATCACACTTATTTAAGAAAAATGCTAGCCTATTTTGCTGTTTCAATGTGCTAAAAACTATGTTATTAATTCTGGGGAGCAAGATCTCTTACTTTCTAAATCACAAGACAGAGAAAGGGCTTCAGCTTTATTAACAGAAAACTGTGGTAAAGAGGTAAGTGACCATTTTATGGCAGGTCCAGGAACTGAACATAGATTTCAGATTTTCTGAGTTACAGTCTTGTGCTTCAGGCAGAAGGCTGTTCTTCTTTTCACTTAACAAGCTATCGAAAATCCAAACTCTTATTTAAAAATTGACAATGCAGCTCAGTAACAATGAAATAGCAAGAATACGTGAAAAGAAGTAATCAAAGTTAAATCACCGGTCCTTCTAAATTTAACACCTGCAAAAATTTGTCCCCAGCACACTGTCAAAAATGTTTCCAAGAGGCTAGTTTAGAATTCATACCACTTTCTGTATCCGTTAAGGCATGAATCACGATACTGACATTACTGTCAGAACTCCTATCTTTGTGTTTGAACTCTAGTGCCATTAGTTCTGCAGCTTTTTCATCATACTTACTGACTTTATATCCCAGCTTTTCAGCATGAATCCTCTTGGCCATGAACTGCCCTTCAATCAAGGCTCGTATTTCCACCTCCTTTGGAAAGTCTGAAACCTGTATCAAAGAACGAATACATTAAGTTAACCAGCACCTTGCACAGTATACAATGCCAAGCTGGAGACAGGTTAAAAGTACGAGGCAGATTTATAGTTCATTATCCTTGTCTTCACCCTGAAGTCAGCTTTCAACTAGGCCCAGCTCTGCAGTCACATACAAAAGGCACACCTAAAGACTCAAACGCAACCCATAACCGCAGAGCTGTTGGCAAATCCATCAGTCTTGAAATCAATGCCGGATGGATGGGAAGAGGTGCCTGGGTGAGTTGTAAACTCTTGGCATTTCTCAGCACAAAAAGCTGCTTAAAGATCAGTATCTCAAAAACATTAAATTAAAGCAAGTAGATAAAATTCAAATGCATTAAGCAATGTCACAAAAGTTTAAATCCATTTCTGTCTGCAGACAGAACAATCCTTTCATTAATTGCTATCTATAACATTTTTCTGTCCTTCTGTTAACTAGAAGAAAGGCAAAAGAGTTAGGAAAATGCTGAACTACACACCACTACAAAAAACATTTCACAAAAAGTTCAGTTTTTCCATGCACTACAAATACAGCAAGAAGTGACTAAGCATTCATTTAAGCAGTAAGTGTTTAAAAGACCAGTGCTACACTGCAAACACAAGATAGTATCAATCTCTGTTCACCTAAGTGAGGTCTAATCAACAGGGAGTCATGATTGATTAAAAACATCTGTTGAGTTCCAATGCCACCCAGAAAGCCAGGCATTTAAACAACACCCATTTCTCAAAAGAAAAATACAAACATAAAAAGAACTTTTCATAACATATTTTTTATTTTAATTCCTGTTGTACTTGAGCTTGTGTTTACTTACTTACCACCATGTGGCCTGTAGGTTAACCAAAGACATGCAGGACAGCCAAATGAGGTCTTTGCACTCACATTTAGAGCAAGATAAAAGACGAAATCCTATAGCCCAATGTTTCAACACATTCTTATCTGTGTCCAAAATTTAGAAGGCAAGGACTAAGTGATGCAAGTTTACCAAGCTCTCAATAATCTTAAAGCTAATCTTTTTTCAAAAATAGCTTTGGCTTTAGTAAATCCACATTTTCTAATTTAAAAAAAAAATAATAATATATATATATTATTTCCTTATATATATATATATATATATTTCCTTCAAAAAAAAAAAAACATTAAAGTTCTAGTTCAGACTTTGTGTTATGGATGTTCTCTAGCTACAAACCAAACCTTATGTAATTCATCCCTTGGACTTGCATCAATCAATGAAATTCAAAAGCAAGCATCTCAAAGAAAAAAGATAATGGCAAAGATTTTGAGCTTTGAGAGTACTCCTTTAAGCTTTTGGACATTAACTAGATTATTACTACCTTTTGGTTGTCACTGTTGAATCTGTGAATCCCAACTGCTTCAGGAGTAATTTCCATCACATCAAAGTAGAAACCTGTATCAAGGAACATTAAAGAGTGTCATGTTTTCTCGTAGCCCAAAGTTGTAATCTTATTTCAGAACACAGCTAAAATGATAATAAATGTATGTCATATATTTGGAAAGACATTTGAGACACCGCACAGCTTGTTTCTTAATTCATTTCAGTCCAGATACTTACTAAATTTAATTACTGTCAGTTTACAAAAAAAAAAAAAAAAAAAAAAAGAGGATCTTAAACGTATCTGACTCAAAGCCTTTAATAGTTCATTAAAAATCCAAATAATATAATAAAAGACAATTCTACAAAAAAACATATATCCACCAAAGCATGCACACATGCAAGTAATATAGTAATAAGATAATATGTAACACATCTCAGAAATAGTTCCAATAAATTATGTGCAAGGGTGAAAGAAAAAAAATGGAAAAAGTGAAAGTTAGTAAGAAGAGTACAGGAATAGTGGGACACTTCATGCACTGGATAAGATTTCATGAGTTTATTAGGGAGCATCAGATATTTTGAGTCATGAAGCAGAGCCGGTCTCTGAATAGTTTTGATGAGATCTAAAGAAATACAGTAGCCCTTTGCAGGCAGCTAGACAAAAAGTGAGAAAAAGATTTCCTTTGTGTTGATGGCAAGTTGGTCAGAAAGGATATTCAAAAAAGGAGACAAAAAAAAAAAAAAAGAGAGAAAAGAAAAACTGAAAAGAATAGCTAAGAAACTAAGAGCAGTCAGCACAGCCTGTAAGACTCAGATCTTCGGAAGAAGACTATGCTGCCCTAGCAGCCCTAAGAGTATTACCCCTCAAAAAAAAACCCACAGAAATAGCACTGTGCTTTAGCGCACACAACCTTTTTGATTAAACATTCTAAAAGCCTGCCAGCAAGGAACACCATGGGTTACAGATCTGCAGGCCCTACCAGGGAATTTATAACCCAGAATTTCCTTCTTGAACCTGCTGCCACCTGGCATATGAGGTGCTCAGGTAAACTTGCTGTTTTAATAGCTTTCTCAGGGACCTCCCAGCTGTGACAGGACCTTCTCCTGTTCACCACTCTTCTTTCTCTGTTTGTTACCCCTGTTACACTCGTTATCCCAGCCTCACCCTAGCCGCTGCCTCCGCTATCTCCAGATCTCCAAAGCTTCCAGTGGCATCTTCTTGCACAATAAAGGGTGTGGGGAACAAGTGTCAAAAGGGAGGGTGTCTAACCAGGTCCTTCTTCACTCTGCTTCCCTCAGGAACTCTGAGATTCCTGTATTTTTACATGTATGCTGTATCTTCAAGTAACACAGAACTTATCCAAGGATACCAGTTATTGAAGATGACTTTCAGGAAACACATTTTTACAGGGTACTGAGTTATCCGAGTGAATATAAAATAACACAAATTTTAGGACTTAAAGCCAGTGTCCTGGTATCCCTGAAATCACTAACAAGATTTCCATCAACTTTGTGGGGTTTTTTTTGTGTGTGTGTTGTTGGTTTTTTTAAATATTGTCTAAAGTGGCTGGCTTCTGGGTTTTGGAATAGCATCTTCCTATTTTCTGAAACACCTGAATTGATTTGCCTTCTAGGGAAAAGAGATGCCTGGCCATTTCAATACCCCACAGAAATTGGATTTGACAGACAACATAACGGAGCTTCTAAAAACAAAATCAGTGCTAACCTCACTCTGTCAAGAACCTGTATCTTTAATTCACTATTCTACGGAGTGGAGTCTTCTATAGCTTAATTATCCTACTTTTTTGAAATTAATTTTAACATATTGATTCAGATCTAATATGATTGCAGTGATTTCAAATCCAGCTCTGCAATGGTTAAATTTTAATCTTGATTATGCTCACCTCTCAATAACTTATTTCAGAGCTATATAATACACCCATGAAATGTCAAGCTTTAGGAGAAAAATGTAAAATATCAAATACATGGATTTATTAATATTTTTAAATGTTTCCATCATTTTATTTAATTCACTTAGCGTAATGTGGGAGGAAACAGGGATGAAGTGACTCTGTGACGTACACTGGGGAAAATGCAGGACATCTGGATACGATTTGGTATTACTGCTTTGTTCACATGCACAGAGCATGATTTTAGAGTAATGTGCTGAGAGCAAAACCATTGAAGACAGAGAGAAACAGCATGGAGCTACTTAAACCACTTGATTTGAGTTTCAGCAAAAAGCAGCATACTTTCATGAAGGCCTCCTTCAGAAATTAGTAGTTCTAAACATTCTGTAGATAAGATGCCATAAAATGCTAACATCTTTTCAATGATCAAAAGAGCTCCATAAATATAATTTTCTTATTCAGTGGACACTGAAGAAAAATACTCTTATGACACTTACCAACCAACAGAGTATTTCTGAGCATACATTAGAAATTTCCCTTGCTTGGCTTAATTCTTGGCCTTTATCACAACCCAAGTAAAAGTAGGTGCAACTCCCAGCAAATTATGTCTCCAAACAAATCCTGGAACTCCCAGTCCTGCTAAGGCTCATACCCAAGTTTCCATTGTTTCCAGCAACAGTAGACGATAAGGCTTTGGAGAATTCATCCCAGGAGCCTGAAGCACAGTCATCTCTGATCCTCTCCCTCATCAGAGAGCCATTCTTAAAACTAAAACACACAAACACACCATATGCATTTTTCAAATCATTTGACTATTTTTTAAGCAAGTTGTTGTTTTACTTAATACAGCCTGTTCGTTGTATCAGCTGAATACAGCCAGGCAAGCAGATACAATCATCTCTTCATTATGAAAGAAACACAGAGGAAGGAAACTAAATAAAACAACTATAACAAGACACATTGAGGAAAACGGTGCAGAGATGCTCTTCTACATCTCTCCAACAAGTGAATGGTTCAGATTTATTCTGGCAGGCCATGCCAAACTACAAGCTAGCTCTGAACAGCTAACATGTCTCCTCAGAGCTCCACGTGCAGGATTTGCAGCCCAGTGCCTGACTTACTGCAGTTTCCTGGAGCCCAAAGCCCTGAAGACACACCGTGCACTGTCGCATCATGCTGGCTGTGAGGCAGGACCTGTGGAGCTGGGTTTCTGCACTGTGCCAACACTCATCAAGGGCTTCATTGAGTCTGGTTGCACCCAAGAGCAAAGACAAACACCTGCTTTTGGACATCCCCCAGCTGGACCTAGTAACTGCTTTCAAGAGAAACAGTCTGTGCTGCGGGTGCAGAGGTAGCACTCGTGTACACTGCCAGCAGTACTCTGACACAGCACTAAAAAAACTCACTTTGACATGGCTGTAAGGAGGAGCAAGAGTGTCTCCACGCTGCATTACATCATTTATGATTTCAGGGTCCAGTAAAACTTATGAGGTCTAGATCCATGCCAGTATCTGGCAAAGGAAAGCACCACAGCTGCAGCTGCACGGTTCTGTTCCAGAGCCAGTAAGCCATGCTGTAAAAATGCATCTGTTGAGTGTGCACGATCTGTGCACCCTTTGTGCCATCTCCTCCTTTGTCTCCTCTGTGAATATAACGCTCCTGCAGCATACTGCAGCACTGGACTCAGACCCAAAGGAAAGCAGTCTGAATCCTCTCCAACAGGGAGTCATCACACCAACTCAGCAGGAGAGGCACAAAAACATCCAGAAAGAGGGCAAGGAAATTATTGAACATGCTCTGTAGCAGTAACTGAAAGCATTCAAGTTTTCTATACATATATTCTGCCTGGGAGTTCAGGCACTTTTCCTACTAAAGCAGGCAAGTTCCCTATTAATTACACTGCTCCATTAGTAAAGGGGCACTGGTGCCAAAGGAGCAGTGTCAGGGCAGGACCAGCTAGACTGGCAGAACAGAAATTCTTTACATCTGCATGGCTACAGAAGTAGCCTGTGTTCTGAAGGACAAAGATTTGGCCTTCTGCACATGTTAAGCTGGAGCAGAAGAATGGCAGCAGAGTGGTTATTCAGAAAAATGTCTCAGCGTCTCCTCTTACAAACAGGTTGTTTATAGAGCTCTTTCACACAGCAGCAGGGAGAAATAGAGAAAAATTGGGAAAAAGGAAAACTTGAATGCAAAGCTTCAAAAATAACCAACTGCCGGGAAATCATATTATGAAACTCAGTAACTTGCAATTGACATCACCCTTTTAAGCTCCACTTCACAACACAGTTCCCACTGTCATCTACGGCATCCTTTCACTGTGCAGGTAAGGCTCAACATCACAGCTAAAAGGCAGATTTGAGCTCTGTTGAAGTTTTCAGTTACAAGCACCTACAGTTTGATTTTGTAGTGTTAGAGATACGAGGTAATCTCAGGATCCACAGGGAGCAGACTGAGTTAATCACTACTGCCATCAAATCTCTGCTTCGGAAAATGCCTCTACCTTATAGATCTGATCATTTGTAATAATTGAAACAATATTACTACTGCGACTTATAAGAGACAGTCCAAGTAGGCGAAAAAATAATAATCCCTCTTAAGTCCTCAAGAGGGTTTTATGCGCACACTCGTAATTAACAGGGCTGTTACAGAAGTGCTGTCCACTTCCAAAGGCCTTCCCGAGGAACAGCTCTACCCATTCCTGCCAATAACTGCTGCGTTGTGCTCTGTGCAATCCCAAGGATTTGAACACTAAATGTACCTGTGTATTACTTGTAAATATTTGCCTAAATGCTCTGACTTTGGAAGTTTTTCGGTTGAACATGTGGATTTGGTGAGGGACAACCTGCAGCTTCAGGCCTTCCTTCCTCCTTGGCTGGCGAGAGGCCAAACCATCCCCACATCCCAGCAGCCAAAAGCTACCAGGAGAATCATTCTGTCAGCTGGGCTTCCTGAGATCTCAGTATTTGCCACGTGCACAGTCTAATATGTCCCTGAACAGCACTGATTATACTCGTCTATGAAAAGGAAGCCTTCACCTGCCCCATTATGTCCCCTCTGGACCACTAGAAGTTGCACAGTCCGGTCAAGCTTCTGACATTTCAGATTATTACATTTCAGAAGACTGCTATTCCTGTACATTAAATATATTACCTTCGATTCACAGCGAACTGGCCTTATGTATACATAAAAATAATTTTGTCTTTTTATCGCCGTGAGAATTTATCCTTCACAACTCTGCAGTTACCCACGTTGAACAATGGGCATGCCATAACCCTGATGCAAATGTTTCAGCAGTAGGTTGCCATATACCATACTGAACGCTGAACATTCTTTTCATTATCATTTTGCAAAAGAAATAAACCACTAATACAAAAAAAATATATATATATATTATATATATATATATATTATTGATCCCAGATGTACAAAAAAATGGTATTACCATAAAAGTGCCATAAATGTTTGCGAATCAACAGGATTGCAGAGGATATGACCTTCTAAGGCAGGAGTCGGTTCCTGGATCCACAGAAACAATGTGTCACTTGTGCCAAGGCTAATCTGGAAGGAGAAAAAAAAAAAAGTAATTGAAGCGTTATCACAACGTGCACGGAAAGCAATACAGAAATTAAATTAAAACCATTTGTTATTACCACTAATTGTTTTTAAATTACACATTAAGTCAATTGGATTCGTATTGAAGCTAGCGCTGACTTTTAGGTTGTCACATCAGTGAAATACATACCAGACAGAGACTTGAGCTTTAGGGTCTAGAGCATTAGTTAAAAATAGTTGCAGTTTACTTAAAATCTTTCAGGCAGCTTGCAGATTGATAGAAATAAAACAAGAATGAAGGCAATAAAAAGAAAATCAACACTAGCAGATTAATTTAACTGATAACCTACAGCTATCGTCCTTGTTACCGTTTCACATTTTATGTATTCCATCTATTCAGGGATACAGATAGTTTTCAGGAATGTTTTGACTTACTGCAATATCTCCTTCTTGAAGTCTCATCCCTGCCAATGATGCTGAAAGCAGAATAACAGAGAAAAAGTTACTCGTATGACTCAATTTTAGCATGCTACTTGGGACATCACGGCACACTGCACTCGCTGTCTCAAACTAGAAAAAATGGGAATTATGTTCATGATAACCTTGGCCTATACATTGTAAAAAAGGGGCCAAGAGCTTGGGTGAGAGTTTTAACACTTAATCAAAACACTCAAAACAAACAACTGCAGAACTGCAGGATTCTCTGAAGGTTTGTATGTTCAAGTTTGAAATACTGTGGACCCTTACTTAACAACACTCATTGAAGTACAACACCACTCGCCTGCATCAGACTACTCATATATTTATTGGACTAAATTGGACTTGAATTTCTAAAAGAAAAATTTGCCTTTCAAGAAATTGAGAGCTTAATCATGTCCCATAATACACATGGGAAATATACCATGACGAAGCCTACATCTTTATTCAAACCTGGATATGCTACTTTTGCATGGATAAGTATTTTATTTTCATAGTCTTGAGAAAGATGACTTTACTCTGCCCTGAAACAGTCATGAGGATTCCAAAAACTGATCCTAAATTAACACTCTCCCTTACACTGGGATATATCAGTCTGACAAAAGGACAGCTCTCATTCTTAAAGAAAGGCTCTTTGATTCAAAAGATACAACAGCAGAGTTTGAATTCACATTTCCTAAGTTAAAAATGGAAGTAATTTGTATTACAAATAGTTTATTCTCTTAGACAAACCAAAACCTAGAGTCACCTCTAATTACTAGGCTAAAGGGAATTCATTTGCAGTACCCAGCTTATCCAAGATGTCTATACCTCAGAAGAGCCAGTGATGGATGGCTGTTGGAAAAAGCTATTAATGCTGATAAACATGATATTCTTTCGCTGTATAAGGGAGCATCTGAGAATTAATGAGATTGATCTAGAATTTCAGTACATGCATAATGATATTCACTGAATCTTATACATTTAATCATCTCACCTGGGTTGTCTCCTGTAAAGGCTACTACTTTACAGTCTGGGCTAAACCCATAACGCTGAATATAATACGGAGAAATGGACCCCTAAGGAAAGAAATACAGAGTGAAAAAACAGCTTAAAAAATGGAAAATGATCTTGCAGTGTATGATACAATTGGTTGTAGCACAGAGCTGAAAAACCCTAGAGCAGCTGCAATAACCATTTCTGTATATTTAAGGCAGGAATATTTCATAGATTTTGAAACTTTTTTTTTTGTCAGAGAACCTCATAGAAATATCCTGAGATTAGATTTTGAAATACATGAAGTAAATAGCAGCTTTTTAGCTCTGGGTCACTCTGGAATTCTTCACATCAAATAATATAAACATACCCATCTATTTTGCACAGAATGCATGAATATTAATACATAAAAATTAGAAATTCAATGCAAACAAAAGAGGAAACAACATTAATATACATCACAACATTAAAGGTTGAAATATGACACCTATTATTGTAGGGGTCAAGAACTGTATTCTTTTAAGCCACAGAGGAAACACAGGAGAAGAAAACCATCCTTAAAAAATACATGGACATTTATGCAGACTTTTGATTTGTTCCTCTCCATTATACATGATCAGCACAGGAATCACAAGTCAGCTACCTTACTAGCACTGAATTGAGAGGGATCAGGTGACAGATATCTACCCTGTTTTACATGTGTACCACCTAAAGCAATAGCTCTTTCTGTGCTGGACAGTAAGACTGAATTTATTTACTCTAAGAGATATGGGTCTTGATTTCATCTTTATGCTACATAAACTGAGGAGCTCTAAACATCCCAAATGATTCAGGAAGATTAACTTCTTAACTCTACAAACAGTATAAAACAAGGTCCTTGTTAAGCAACACAAATGTTGGGTTCTGTTTCTGCAGTAATAAATACTGTGCATAGTTTTGCAGTCACCAGGTACTTGTGGGCATATGGGAAGTCAGAGTAGAACCCCAGTGATTCTTATCACCGCAGCAGCTGCCAAAACCTTTGCTTTCAGAGCCCAGGGCATGCAGGAATCCAAAGTGATTTGTGGCAAAAGCTATGACAGACACAAGCTACCAGTATTCAAAAATATCCATTTCTGCTCTGGCACACATCTCTGAAGGTAATTGTGCATGCACGCACACACACGCAAATATACTCCAAGGAAGTACCATCAGCAGAACTCTCAGCACAAAGCCTTAGCTCTTCCAATGATTATTTTTTTTTAAACTCTTCAAGACTGGCACATACCAGGACTGAATGGGATGGCACAGGGCTTCCCAGTTTCTCTTCTAGTCCCGGTGCACAAGCATCAAGGCAGGACGCTGACCACACCTTTTCCCAGATTTGCAGCAGATTCATACCAGAACCTACAAGACATAGATCAAACCAAGAAGCACAGATCATTAAACATAACAGCAGTGTAAAGAAAGCAGATAATATTGCATCAGAAAATTCCACCTTGTTACAGGCAACAGAAAGTTATCCTGGAAAGTTGTCCTAGTTTATAAAGTTAACTGAGGTTGATTAGTGGCCACATCTATGTAACTTCCTGAGCACTCCACATCCCTTGTTTGTATTTCTAAGATGCATTTAATTGCACATTTCATTAGACTTGAAAAATCCGTACGCGCTTCTGGTTAGTGCTGTTCAGGGACATATTAGTCTTACTCTGGATTAACAACATTTTCATTTCAAAGACTGTTTAGCCCGTGACTTATTTATCTCAGAAACACAGCCACATTCTCAGCCGCGCACAGTGGAAAACTTCAAATTCAATTCAAAACATCTTTAAACTCAGTATAGCACAAAGAAGGTGAAGCTGACCAACAGGCAGAGTCTGTGGAATAAGGCTACACTTGCAATGCTGGAACACAGAAGAAGAGAAGAGTCCTAACCACATCTCAGCCAGCACGTTACAAGGCTCTAGCAGGACTCTTCTTCTCAACAAGCCTGCCATATTCCCTGCACATACCCTACTGTTGGTTACACACGCACAAATAAGCTTACACTATCAATTCCCAGCAGCCTTTTTCACTTAATAATGAGTTTAATAATGTTTATTAACAAAACACCTATCTGTACAGTTGAATCCTAAGCACCAACACCATAGTCTGGACCCAGTGCTTTGCACGACGCTGTAAATAGAAAGTGTTGCACGCTCCAGCTGAGACCCCAGAATAAACCAAGCCAAACAGCAGGAAATTTGGACTATACTTAGCAACATAGAAAATAGAATTACATTTATTAAATTCAATCAATCCCATTTCATGCAAATTAAACGCACTTAAATTATGCGCTGGTAAATTTGGCCTGTGATGCAGCAGCAGGAATTTGACAGAGCACAAAGTGTGCTTGCTCCCACAGGCAAAGGGTGCATCTCCCTTTTCTGCTGTCAGAGTCACTACCAGCAACAGGAGAAGGAAAGGTGGCAAGATTTAGTCTAGCTTCTCTCAATTCTCTCTTAAATCCAGCCATCCCCCCTGCCTTGGTAAATTGAATCCAGAATTGTTATCTGCACTTCCAAGACACGGAATGAAGCCTCTTCCCAAATCTCTCAGGCTTAATGAGGAAATATGCAAAGCTAGAAAGTTTCCTATAAAAGACCCTAATGTAAAAGGACAAGAACACCTTAGCTAAATTAATCGGTGAGCCAGAGAATCTTTAAATAAAGAGGAATTTCATTAGAAAAAAAGTTAGCTGTTGTTTTTTTCTTTTTTTTTCTTTTTTTTTTTTAATGGTTTTCCTTGTTTCTTTTGTTTTTTAAAATCCTTCACCTCCACATCCTGCAAGCCCAAAGACACGTTTAGCCAGTATCCTCCAATGCAATTCTGGAAGAATAAGCACAGCCTCTCCAATCTTTTCTGCCTAAACCAGGCAAAACACTAACCTTTGTGACTGAAAAGGTCTAAGGTGATATAGAAACTGAAACAACACTTCAGTTTTATTGACTGGTAGATATAGCTGCAAAGAGACATTAATATGCCCTGAGAAAAGAAAGATGAACTAATTTATCCCACCCTCAAAAACTCATTTAAAAGATGTGAAACAACTATTTTACAAGAGCTACTCGTCTGTTGGCCTGGATTCATCCTATCCAGCTGCAGGAGCTTGAATGAGAATCTTGGGGCAGCAGAAAACCAAGGCCAGAGAGCTGAAAGCACCCTGGAACTGCTTCTCCTTCTCCTTCACTCACACAGGGAGAGATGCACAGTGAGCTCCTAAATCACACGTCTGGTCATGCAGATCTATGCCACTTTTAGAAATAAAAGTTAGTAAAAAATGGCATAAGCACACCATCGTAAGTTTAACATTAAAATAAACAGTAACTCTAGAATTAAAATCATAGGAAAAAAACAAAGGCAGTCTTCAGACTTGTCACTCCAACTGGGTATCCCATCAGCAACAAAGGTCAATAGCCAAGCCCATGGTCTAGTAAGGACTGAGGAAAGGATTAACACGTGGAGGAGTAGGATTCAGTATTTCACTGAAAGCATCCCCGACTTAAAGTGACCAAGGAGCACAACTTGGACTTGCCAATATTTACTGCTTATACAAAAATATAATTATTTCAAGACTGGGAAAAAAAAAAATCATTACAAAGACCAAAAGACACTGACTAACTGGCTTTATCAATCAGCAAGCTAAAAATCAATATTTGCATCCATTTAGAAACGGGTAAGTGCATCTATATTACAGCATTCTGGATTGCCTTTTCGGCGAGCAGTGCAGCTCTGCTGACACCAAACAAGCTACAGGAGGAGTAAATTCAGCCCAACAGGCTGCCTTCTGAAAAGGCTTCAGTTCAAAACAGCCTTAGTTGAGACAACAACAGAAACAAGTATGCTAAGCTACGATCTGCCTAAGGCTCTTGGAAAATCATTTCAAAAGATAAAGCTTCTCTAGGTCAAGAGCTGAATAGCTGTTCTTTAAGGTGTCTTCTGAAAGAAACAATGCCTCGAGTGTTCGAGTTATTTAGGTCCCAAATGTATCTTCCTTTTACCACCTGCACAATATAAATGAAAATCATTCTTCGTTCCACCAGAATGTAATTTGATTTTTTTTGAATCAATCACACAAGGTGCTCAGCCATTCATAAGCAGTGGTTTGAACCTTACAAGATTGGACCTTTAAGGAGAAAAATTCCTGAAACTGAGTAGCACATTTCCTACAATAACCCGCAAATTTAAAGAGAGAAGTTATTGTGCAGAGCTAAACAATTTGACAGGGTCTTTTAAAGACGATATGACCTGAAGTTAAACCTACAGAAATGAAGAATAGGTCTATTATCTGAGTATTATTTTGAGATGCATTTCAAACTACAATATACAGGTGCAACGTAAAAGATCAAGTGAATTGCAAGAAATCGTACATGACAAGAAAACAGGTTTTTAAGATGGATCCAAAAAACTATTGCATGCATTATAATTACATTTTATTACCGGAATTAGAATTCGCTCTCATTATGTTAACAGAAGAAAAGAACGTAGAAGACAAAATATAGCTTACAACACCGAAAAATCTTTTGTCTTGTAAAGAGAACTGTAACATCCTGCTTAGTTCCCTTATCTTTCTTCGCACAAAAATTTAATAATCTTACATGCTTTGAATAGTAGATAACATTGATTCAAGTTATGTAAATAGCCAGAGGTGTAACAGAACAGGCTCTCCTTAGAGCTGCTTGAAAAATGCAACACATTTTCTATGAAAGTTCTCCAACGAAGCTAACTTTTGTTTTGTTTATAGTTTAAAACGTTTTGGTTTCCAACCAAACTGAATTGTTCATGTTCCAAAATAGAAGAAGCACAGATTTCCCTCACTTGCTTCCAACTAGAAAAGGCAGAGATGGCATTACCCAAAAAAATAAACAAACAAAAAAAAACAGGATTTGTTTATTATTTGCTTATATTTTAAACAAAATATGAATCAAAATAAACACTCACTGAAAAAATAATCAACGATCAACATATTTCTTTGTCAGAAAAAAGGATCTTGGAGCTCTCACCATCCTTATTTGAAAAACAGTAGACACAGCTAGTTCTGTAGGCTGGTGAGTGGCCAAAATGCTCAGCACTCGGGACTACTGAGGAGCAAAGTGCAGCTCTCAACAGGTATTGTGGGCAATAATTCACAAAAAAAAAATAAAATTTAGCTGTGAAAATACATGGCTAACAGAACAAGACCAGAAGACAGATGTAATAATCTCACAATTGCTGCAAAATAAGCGTGGATCGCCTTGCAATTTTTAAGGTCTCAAATATAAATGGGAAATCTAGTATTGAATAAGTTGTCCATTACCTAAAATTGAGGTGTCTTGCCTTTTCCTATGAGCTTTGATGGAACAATGAAGGAGAAAAATAAGTTCGTCTTCGCACATGGGTGTCAACTATGGCTCTATAATGCAACATTTCCTTAGAGAGCCTTGTTATCTAACCTTTCAGCTCTGAAATGTATCTCCTCTTATTTTCAGAGAAGGAATCAAAAATGCTATTTAGAAATAACAGCACAGCTCCCAGGAAGTAGGTATCCCTCATAAAGGCTGTTTAAATTTGCCATTTAGAAGCTGGATAGCTGAGACAACACACAACAGAAAAGAGAGACACGTGTCCAGTCACTTTTTTGTCTTTGTTATGATGAATGAAGAGATAAAAAAGGTTAGATTTTATTCTTTTTAACTGAGCTTGCTTAGTTTTGTGTGTTTTTTTTCCTGCTTGGCTTTGTTTATCCTTTTAAAAATGAACCAGAGGAAATTTCTGTTACAGATCCTTACTCCAGTTAGGCGTGGGGGCGTGTGGAATAATCACAGTATACATCTTATTTACATCCTATGCAACTCAGAGCTAAGCCAGCAAAACCAAAAAATATCAGAACTATGAAGTCTACCTGAAAATCCACAGTTTTTAATGCTTTTAAATAGATATGTCAACATTCCTTTCACATCAGAAAGTAATGAAAAAGGTTCACTTTCATTTAAGAACTTTTTCTCTGGCTCCATTTTATAGAAATTGGAATCATGGTACGATGGGGATAAATAAGCAAAGCTGACAACACTATCAAGAGTAGCAACAAATTGAAAGGAATAGCTTAGTTGAAAATCTAACAGACTTGCAATTAAAGCTTAAAGACTGAAAATAAATGGCAGAGAGCCTGTCCCCCTTTTATGTAAGGCAGGGAGGAATAGAGAGAAAAATTTCCTTCTTGAATTGTCAGTACCAGAAAAGCCCACGCACTTACCATCACTGTAATCGATGGGTGCATAAGCTCCTAGGAAAAGGGAAGCTGCAAAACTACTAACCAAAGAGATTCTCTGAAAGTAAAAAAAAAAAAAGGAGTGTGAGAGTGATTCCCATCAGTACTCACTTCAAAGAAAATAAATAAGTAATTGGAAGCAGCAAATGTTAATAGATGCTTAATGTTAGACACAGAATGCACACAGAAATACACCTAGAAGGATTATTCAGCTTTATATTCCTGCCTAAGTAACGCAGCAGATATCAATCTAAAAGTAACCCCATGATAAAAGCTGTTAATAGCTCTGCATTCTGAAACATGCAAAATACACCTCGTATATTAGCATATTCTATGTTATCATGAATTAATTCACAACTGTGGTGTATCACAGGACTTCAGTTAAGGTAAAATACTCACCAAGAAAAAAATCTGAGTGTGGATGACCGGGGAAATGCCCAGAAGACATGAATTGGTCAACTCAGGGTACAGCTCTGCGAGCTTCTAGTCACTGGCAAGGCTCTGATAGCACCCTTATGTGAGCTCTTACCTTCTTCCCATCCATGACCTCCTCCCAGCTGAGACCCCAGCCCTCCCAGGAGTTACTCCCCGGAGTTGGGAATAATCAGCTCTGCACTAAACCACTGCCTGCAGCTCTGCCTCAGGATATGTTCCAACAACGCATGAAATCCAGCTGCAGGGCTCCTAGTACTGGCCCCAAAATGCCCTGGCCATGTAACACAAAGCACTGATCCAACACGAACTCACCTCCATTTCAAGCCTGCTAGAGAAACTACCGAGTTAAGCAGACAAGCTTTCTGCAGGATCAAGTATTGTATGTCCCCCAGAAGCTGGCATAAAAGCTGTCAAATTCCTTATTGTGTGCTCTAATTCAAAAGAAATATGATTGTCACCCAATAACTAATCAGAATCAAATCTCTACTGGTGGAGCAAGCCTGCAGTGACAGGTTTTTGTATTAGTGATTATGAAACCACTGCTTCACACAGCATTCAGGGACGGACTATAGCCAGAGCTCTAAGAAGTGGTTACAATGGCCAGGAAACTTAATGATGCACTCGCTCTTCATGCGTCTCTCCCCAAGAATATATCACATTGTGCTTAGATAACGAAGGCCTACCTTCTCTGGTGCCCCAATGGGCACTAGCTGCCTGAAATGGAAGGAAAAGGATGGAGTTAAACTGTGAATCAGCCAGTTCAGCAAGCTGACCTAGAGGAGGAAAAACATCCACCTTCCACATGTCACTCAGACTGCCAGGCTGCTAAGTGCTGCTTGAAGGTCCCCAAAAGTAACTCTATCATGGAAATAATTGCACTAGAACACAACTTCTTGCATATCCTTTACTGCCACAAGGTGCCATCAGTGCCACCAGCCCTCAAAGTCTTAGCTTACTTAGTCTGACCAGTTCTCAGTTCCCAGGGACTTGCTCCCCATTCTGCCTCTGCTATTCATGCATCTTTCTCTAGACTTGCTCTTAAACTTGTGATCAGACTGTATTACTGTTCTGTTTCGTCCCATCCCTTATTAGCATAAAGGTTATACAATGAAAAGAGAAAAAGAAATTTTTTAAAACGAAGCATTCTCCCCAGAAAACTTTGCCACTCACTTCCCCATGAAATTAAATGTTTCATGCAGAGGTGAGATTCTAAAAAACAGAAAATTTATTATCAATACTGACAAGAACTACAGGAATATAAAAACACAAGACACCTGACTTCACAGGTCAGGATGTTTGGTGTTTTCTAATCACAGGGTGGAAGCCTTTCCCTCATGTATATCATACCTGCATGGAGGTTTCACCTTGCTTCAAACCATTTTAGTCACAGCTAGATGCAGACTTGAATTGAAACAATAGAATTGCACATTGATTTCTAAAAATTAAAAAGCAGAAGGAAACTACACAATGCAATTCATTTGTAGTAACAGAATCAAAGTAGCTCCTCAAGGGAAAGTCTATTAAAAAAATCTAGGATTGATTGCAGTTTTTTTCCTATGCACATCTGCACGGATACCAGCTTTGTATGGCAGAGCAACTACATTTCTGTATGCAAACAGACAATTCTGAGTGCTAAAATTTCTATTGTGTGCTTAGTTACGCACTTGTATTTGAGCTGCTGAACATACAATTTACTGCCACCCAAACGAAAGCCTGGTTTAAAAAACTTCTTCCACAAAGGCAAGATCCAATAGAGCCCGCTGTGTTAAATATAACATTCAAAATGGAACTGATGCCCGACTTTTATCTGCCTAATGACTAAGAATATAACAAAAACAAAAGCATTTTTTTAATTTTAATTTTAAAAGCAAACAGAAGAATAAAAATATTTTAGCCAAAAAAAAATAATAATCTGACATCTGCACAAAATTCTTTTTAAAAGATTTTCAACTGTGATTTCCAATAAGTATATTGAAGTTGAGCCAACCTCAGTTTGCGTGTAGACCTCAGGATTCTGGCTGTAAATCTTTGCTATCTGGTTTCCTGTAAAACGCTGAGAAAGAAATGCAAATGCTTAGAAACACAAACCTTAAATGGAGTCAATAATCATTAACTCTGTGTAATGAGTTCAGTACATTGCACTTTGGATATTTAATTTGCCTGATGCATGATGAAAGTCAGTGCACAGCAGGCAATCTGCACTAAACAGGCTATAACACATAGTCTCATTATGAGAATTTTGCTCACCTTTTGAAAAAAAAAGCTTGTGATAAAGCATTACTATCCATAATTTACATTTCAGAAATGACAGTTCAATGGAATGAATCACTCTTATTACATGCCCAGGAACCAACACTATTCAAATGCTGCCTTCAGATTCTTTAAAAGATTTAGGCTACCCAACCTATGCACCTCTCTGTGAGGAAGGTGAATGGAAGAAGGCAGCAAGTTTAATACTCAAAGAAACAACTTAAGCACAAGCTAACGGCAGTTCTAAGAATACTTATTTTTCATCCATGTATTGTATCAAACAACAAAAATCTTCTAACACCGAACTTCTGAAACCTTAACCTTTGGCAAGTTAAAAACAAACTGTCAGAGGTATGCAAAGACTGATTTCAAACACTGGCCTTATGGCCAGTGCATGATTCAAAAACAGAATCAGCAATTCAGAGGGTTAGAGCCTTATTCTATTGAACCAACAGTAAGAGCAGCCAGGTGCCAAGATGCCTGGAGGGCAGCCCCAATCCCACTCAATGTCTTAGTTAAAAGAGAGGAAAGGGTTGGAAAGAGGAGATGAGTGACTGTGTACTCTCTGATAGGGTCCCATACTTCAGAAACTCATTTCTCTTAGGTTGACAGCTACTTGTTAGCCTTCAAGGAACATTAAAAGGGCAATTCTTTTAACTGAAGAAGTAACCTAGAGCATTTATCCCCAGACATCGACTCATAACCCTGAATAAGCCTGTAACACAAATTAATTTGTCATTAAACATGGAAATTTGGCTGCACAGGAGCTCACAATGGAGAATTCAGCCCTGGGAACCACTGACCAAGTGCAACAGCTCACTACAGTCACCATTTCAGCACTGGTTCTTGCAGTAGAAATTCCAATGTTTTGCTTAATTTCACCTTAAAATTCCCATAGAATACAGTTTCCACCTCTTCCTTTGTGAGGCTACTACAAAGCACAGTACTACTGGAGGTTCTTCAAAAACACTGAATAAAATTCTCTCTTTCATAGTTAATGCCTGCTCATTATCTGCTGTGGTATAACTTAAGGGCAGAATCATTTCTGTCACCCGACTCTGCTGAGGATTTCTTCTCCCTGCTCCTCACCTCATAGGCTCGAGATCCAGTGATAGCCGCTAGGCGCTGTGCTCCTCCCACAGCCTTCTCCAGATTGCTGCACTGGGAAGCTGTGCTCGAATCCATCCAGATGGGGCTGTTACTGACAGCAAAACATGCCTGGAACAAACAATATTCTTTATTAATACCATCTGAGCTCTTAGAAGTCCCTGCTGGAACAATAATAATAGAGCAGACCTAGCTGTCAGCTCACAGTTCAGTGCTCTGAGGTGCCTTCTGATTCCCTCTCGATAATTACGGGAAAACAGATATTGGACTAGCACGTTGGTCAGCAGTGGAAAGCCTAACCCAAACTTCACACTTGAGGGAAGCAGCAGACTCCACCTGATGGTAATTCACACATGCCCTGCCGCAGGGTGTGCTATGGCATTGTATTGCTAACACTCCTTTGGTAGCCAAAGCCCCAGGTCATTTTATACAAGTTTAGACCCATTTTTTAGAACTTCTCTTCAAATATTTAAGACTATCCAGAGCTGTTCTAACAGATTTCTCTTCAGTGACTGGTATAACCAATGCAAGTGAGGCTTGCCATAAGCAATGCGTGTGAGTCTTAGTATCACCAGAGAGTATTCTAATTCCACTCCCAAGAGTTTTGCACAGATGAGGTATTTCAAAAAGTAATCATGTAATAGATCATTTACACAAACGCCTCCTTTTCCATATACGACTGTTGTTTCTGATCTTAGAATCACAGAACATCCTGAGCTGGGAGGAAGCCACATCGAGTCCAACTCTAGCTCCACACAGGACCACCCCAAAACCAGACCCTGTGTCTGAAAGTGGTATCCAAATGCTCCTTGAACTCCTGCAGCTCAGTGCCAGGACCACGTCCCTGGGCAGCCTGTCCCAGCACCTGACCACCTCTGGGTGCAGACCCTTTCCCTAACCCCCAGCCTGACCCTCCCCTGTCCCAGCTCCATGCCGTTCCCTCGGGTCCTGTCGCTGTCCCCAGAGAGCAGAGCTCAGCGCCTGCCCCTCCGCTCCCCTCATGAGGGAGCTGCAGGCCGCCATGAGGCCTCCCCTCAGCCTGCTCTGCTTGGGGCTGAACAAACCAAGGAGCCTCAGCTGCTCCTCACCAGTCTTCCCCTCCAGACCCTTCCCCATCTTTCCAGCCCTCCTTTGGGCATTCTCTGATAGTTTTATGTCCTTTTTATATTGTGGTACACAAAACTTGCACACAGCACTTGAGGTGAGGCCACACAGTGCAGAGCAGAGCAGGACAATCCCTTCCCTAGCCATGCCATGCCTCATGCACCCCAGGATACAGCTGGATACAGATCTTAAAGTAAGGAAGGTGAGGGACTTTGAAAGGAAAGCTCTTTTCTCCCTACTTCTCTTTTCAAATAAAACTCTGTCAAGTCTATATTCAAAACATACCAAACACAACAAAAATAGTGTTGAGGTTCAACAATTTACTTGTTACGAGGTTCTGTCCTCACAGCATTACACTTCCATGGTTTCACAGGGAAATGTAAATTGATTTTTTTTTTTTAATATTTTCTAAAGAAATCTCAAGGCATTACAAGGAAACTCAGCTACAATAATATTCTTCATTGCAATTTTTTTATTAATACAAATAAAAAAATGACAATACTTACAGGTTGTTTACAAAATATAATGTTTCCTAGAAGAACAAACAAGCTGTTACTCTGACATAAAAAGATCGTGGAATGCCTGCCCACTGACACCTGTAAGCTTTTAGAGCAGTACACACTGTCACTCAGGAGAACGGGAAATGTCAAAAGCCCTGGAGCTGAAGGAGTAACCTGTATATTTCACTTTATGCTGCAGGGACATGCAACTCAGCTAAACACGAGGAAAGGTTGGCAAGGAAAAAAGCAATGCCTAAGTATCAGAACAAGTGTAGCTCTCCCTTCAGAGCTCTTTTATGCACATTACCTTTAGTAACTGATGTAAAGGCAGTTCGGGTGATGCATTCTTTAAAGTCTGGATGCTTCCTTTCTTCCAGTACACACTCCCATGTTGCTATAGGAAAGTACAGAAACCAAAGTTGGAGATGGCCTCTCAGGCTGCAAAGTTCATATCCTGATCTGAATTTCAAGCTCTAAGGGACAGAGAACTCTCTCCAAACAAGGAGAAGAAAATGCACATTTTCAAATCGTGTCCCATTAGAAGACACTTCAAGACAGAGCAAAGCATACAGTGAAACAGTAGACACAGGAGTCAATACAATAATGATCTTGAATTATACCAACTATACCAATGAAACTAGATATACACAAAGAAATCCCCCAGGCCCATAGTTCTTGACCCACAGTATCATCCAGATTGCTTCAACATCTCTCTTCTGGTTCTTTTAACAATTGAAACCAGTTTGCCCCTTCTCTGGGGACAAAAACTGGCACATCAGTGTACCTCTGCTGTCTGATCTGCAGCACAGAAACAAGGTTCTTAACGGAGAAAAGGAAAAGAGACAATGTGTATTGGCAGGTGACAGCTAAGTGAAATCCGTTCTACCTGAAAGAACCTGAATATAGCACCAAGTTGATACCCCAGCTTGTGGAATTAAGAGGAAAACAAAGGGAATCTGGTAGTCTGGAAAAAACCTTCCTACCTTCACTTGAGTGAGTTGGGGTTGCCTGGCAGTCCCTAACTTCTGTTCCACTGAGGAATTCTTAACAGAGCCTTGATACAAACTATGACTTTCAGACATGTTGCTCAGACTTTCAACTGAAAGCAATGAAACATGGAGATTAAAGCAAAAATTTTGATTAATTAGCCCCAGATATATCAAGATGAATAACTAAACCTCATGCATCACAATCAGCTATCACTTCAGTGCTGTCCTTACCCTGAATATAATTTTTAAATCTGTAAATGGTAAAATGGTATAAAAGACTTCCTTATCTCACCACAGTACTAGGAGACTGGAGAACTAACTTGGTATCAGAATGGGTTTTATAAACCTCAAAAAATGTACTAAAGGATAAGAAATGGCCAAGCAGCATATTTGTCCTCTTTGCATCAAAGACTATCATAATTTATTTTCTTTTGTTCCTAGGCAGATCTCCATCCTAGCCAACAAAAGCAGTGCTCAACAGGACTTTACTAAGCCTTCAGCTATGTCAACTAGTCACTGTTTTTCTATCCTATTCCACAAGCACCTGGATAAAGTGAAATTCAAAATGACCCTAGTCATTTCAGAATCTGCATGTATAAATAATTTAAGTAACAGGAAAACAACTAGCAGCTAGTTTTGCTCTACACTGATCTTAACAATTACAGAATAAAGCTCATACTCCAATCCTACTAACTTCCGTAGATTGCTGTGCATGCTTCAGGTTTTAGGTTACCATGAGTAACATGTGTCTTTTAATGGATGCTTACATAGAAGCTTTGATCTTACTTGATGTCTTTAAGGCCTTCTGCAATACAACTATTTAAAATTTATCTGCATACCTTGTACTATATTGAAGAAATACAGTAAGATTGATTTATTTCTTTATAAACTAACCTGGCCAGCACCAGACAAAGCTCTGACTTGAGCGAAGTTAAAGCCGGAAGATTTCATCTTTTCTAAAATCATATCCAGAGCCTACAAGAACAAACAGAATCAAGAATGACTGTAACGAGCTACCAAATTATGCATACTCACAATCCTTGGAATTAAAGAGTAAATTCATGTCATCACTGATAAGAGTTCATTGGCAGATAATGAAAAATTAGCTAATGACTATGGACTTTTCAAGAAGCTGCATAAATTAATTTACTAAGTAAGAGTCCATAAAAGAAAAGTTGAATCACACAAAGGAGGAAAAAAAATCTTTAAACAAGCTCAATCACAAAGAATCATTCTTTGAAACCTAAACAAGCGGCAAGATTTAAAGAATTCCAATTCATTAAAAAACATCTATTAAGAGTGCCAGACACAAGACATGATTATCTTTGTCTGTTCTTACTTTTGGAAATCTATGAAATCTTTAACAGTGTGCACCCTGCACCCCATTGTACAGGATGCTAGGAATTCACAATCCATCATGTCTGCTGAAAACTCAGAACCTCTTTAATTCAATTGAATTTTTGTACTTTAAGCCTGTAGGTTACTTTTGTTGTTGCCACATTTTACTACATTTTAAAATCAAAAAGTAATCTATCTTTATATAGTCCCATTTGGATCAGCGTTTGCCAGACTTCGTTGACAAATGGACCACTGTAAGGCTTTAGAATTTCCCAAGAAACCATATTCCTTTATCACATACCTATATCATCATATTATTAATTTAATAATTACAACTGTTCCTGTTTATTATGGTTCAAAAGACCAACTGCGAACAATTTACCAAATCTTTATGGATCATCAGACAGAACTACAGTGGAGCACCAACTGGGGATTCCATGACCTTTTAGATGTCTTAACTATTCAAATCGTGCTAGTAAAACAGATTGACGCAGCACCACGTGAGAGCAATGGGTTGCAGAATCTGCACAGAGGCAAAGAAGGCCTGCTTTTAAAACAGAAGAGAATGTTACCTGTATTTCAAAATAAACACCAGTCAAAGTGACTGGGAATTACTGAATAAATTGCTCTTTAATCACCTGCCATTTGAGAAATCAATTTGTTAGCAAAGTTTATTCTAAAAAGACAGTGCAAGTAACCAGGATGCTGGAAAAAAAAAAAAAAAAAAAAAAAAAAAAAACAGAATTAAGCTAGGCAAAGCTGCAGTGGTCCATTTTGCATATGAAACAGGAAGATGGAGGGAAAAAAAAATAGCATTTTAAAAGTAGGGGAAATCCAGGAAAGGATTTTTCATGCATACAATGCTATAAGTAGCAGAGAGTGAAGAAAGAAACAAAGAAACAAAATATTACAAGTAACTAAAGTGGAAGTTGTTTACATTAACATCTGCATCCCAAAGACACAGAATAGCACTTTAAAAAGCAGAAAATAAGCAAAAGGACTACAATGATTTTAATGACAAGTTTCACTGTTGTTTTCAACATGTATTTATTTCAATGGCAGCGAGTAAGAAGTTGAACCATACACTACAAATACTTCCAAAAGGCTGACAATAAAGTTTATTCGTACCTTGACCCACATTAGCACAGGAGAAGTGACTGTCAGCCTGTCACTGTGAACATAGGCTCCACCTTGAGTCCTACAGAAAAATGGTATTTTCTCTTGGTAAATTTAGTCTCTTTTCCCCACCAAGCAATGTTCTTTAAGTTTAGTAATAACCAAAGAAAGTTGCAATGTTTTGTTTTTTTTTTTTTGTTAGAAGCAAAGATAAGATCAGTGTTTGAAACCTTAAAAACTAAAAGCCAGCTCCTAGGAAATGGCATTAGAGAAGTTTGACTCAATTGCAAAGGAAACAAATTGCAAGAAAGGGTCATGGTCCTGAAGTTAGACCTGTGACAGACTCTAGTGCTGACGCTGCTCATTGGCTCCATGCAAGTCACGGTTATCGCTAAGTTTCCTAACTGTCCCCATTAGTGGCTTGAATCTAGAAGATGAAATTCAATTTTTGCTGTTAAACCATCAAGTAGATAAATGCATTTTATTGGCACTTGTGACTATGATGGAAGAAATCTGTAAATCTGTAAATTCTAGTCTATAAATTGAGTTTATACATCTTAATGTGCCATTTGGAGCCACTGAATTTGTCTCCAAATGCCTCTTAGAAGTTTCCCTCATGCAATTTATTTCCTGTTGTCATAACATTCCATCCTGACATAAAGGTGGTGCTTACTTCTGTGTCCCAAAAAGAAACTGCCACGTCCAAAAGTCTGAAGTTCCAAAAGAAAAAAACGTTGGTTAATTTACACCACATTGGTTAATGATACTTTAGGGTGGGAGGGTCTTTTTATTTCCTGTTGGGAGTTCTTGCCATGCTTACACACAAAGCAAGGCAAAAGGACATACTTCCATTGCCAAGTATGAAACACAAACACAGCATTAACTTTTTCCATGCCTCCACACATACCAATAAGACCAAAGTAGGGAACAGCCCCCCCATCCTAGTCCCCAAAGTTTTACATTGTATTATCCAAGTAAAACATAAAAAACCTTACTTAAATTCTGGAAGATCTTTATCAAAATGAACATTATCCTCATAAATGACCCTCAGATGTTCATCAATGGCAATGACTTTCAGCTAGAAGAAATAAAACAGGATGTTAACAAAAACAGTCTGGAACAGTAACTAGAGAGTACTGATAACTCATTTATAATAATTCAATTCTCATAGTTGAAACGGGAAGGAAGAAGTAGGGATCACCCCAATCCATACAACTATCTGTAAGTATGGGCACGATTTTACACAAAACAAGTTATTATGTGAGTTTACAGCATTGACATACACATATCCAGCAACATGTGTATTTGTTTGCTACATTTTCTCCCTCCTTAAACACAGAAGAAGGAGATGCTTTGCTAAAGAACAGCAAATAAGTTACATGGTTTCCAGTTTGCATCACAGTAACCAAGTTCTCCAAAGAGTACAGTATCTTAGGTTAAAGATGTCAGGTGGTGTTGGCTTTATTTTCTTAAAAGCCTCATCTTACCACGGAAACTTTGGGATACCTTGAGGACCTTCCCTCCTGCCCAGTGTCTGAACTGGACTCTACCAGTCTGCAAAGCCCTGAGGCCATCCCACAGCTGCATGCTCGGCTTCTGCAGCCTGTGCAGAGCTACATCCAAATCCCAAATCCCTCGAGCTGGGCTTTCCTGCAAGCACTGACTAGAAGACTGCCACAAACTAGCTTTTCTCCAGTTCACCTGGCGCAGAAGAAAAGCATGAAGAGCCTCAAAGAAAAGCAGGCACGTCGTTCACATCCTGCATATGTTTTAACGAGGGAGTGCAACCTGCTGCTAAAGGACTGAAAAAAAAACCTACAAAGAGCGAGTCAACTCAAAGGAGCTGTATTCAAATAATAAAACCATCCCCGTTTGGGGGCGGGCTACTTCAATTTTAGCCATACCAACGTAGGGCCTCGTTTATGCACTAGCACAACTCATTACCAAGCCGGTGCACGGCGCTAGCTTAAGAACGGCTCTGACCCAGTGCGGCTTAATTGGCTTTCTGCTTGCGGTGCACCCCCTTGGAAAACACTTGATCGCCATCCAGGGTAACCTGGATATGTCTTTGCAAGCTCCCAAACTTCAGCGCAGCTGTAGCGAAGTGATTTCTGCCCGAGGAGGGGAGGGAGGAGGCCGCGGTACCTGCTGCGTGCTGAAGTCCCAGCCCAGGAAGCAGGGGGCGGCCATGTCGCGGCCGGCGGCGGGGAAGCCCTCACAGGGGCCGGCTGCTCGGGGCTCTTCCCCCCGGCTTCCCTGAGCCCTTCCCCCGGTTTCCCTGAGCCCTCCCCCGGCTTCTCAGGGCCCTTCCCCCGGAAAGGAGCCGCCAGCCCGGCCCCGTTGTGGGGACGTGGGTGGGGAAGGGCCTGAGGGCGGGCGGGTTGAAGAAGCTGGGCGAGGAGGAGCAGCCCCCTCATCCCTCTGCAGCCCCCTCGAAGGGGTTTGTGAGGGAGCTGCGGCTGGGGAAAAGGCTCTCCGGAGCTGATCCCATGGCAGCTCGCTCGGCTTTGTTCAGCTCAGCTGAGCTGCCGAGGTTCTGGAGGAGAAAACGCTGAAGCAGCCGCACGGCGATCGGCCTAAACCGAGGCACAACGAGCAGGGCAAATCTACGCCACAGCCCGAAGCAATCCGCTGAATTTTTATATATCATGTGTACAGGGTCTTGGTGTAGCATCACACCCTGCGTTTGTGTAAAAACATTCCCACAAAATTCTGCTTGGGGAGGTTTTAGGGTTTTGCATTTTCTCCTATAGCAACGTGACGGAGGCGTTGCCTAATCTGAGGAGGGATTATCTGAGAAATACTCCATCCTGCAGCCCAGGCTGTATCTCAGCAGAGCTTTAACGAGATTTTGCATGCCCAGGATCCTAAACTGTTTTAAGAGTACAAATATTTACTTTGAAGTGCCCTTTGAACTATAAAACATTAATACATTTTGTCATATACTGAACAATTTGAAGATCCTGTAAATATTCCCAATGATTTCCCAAAGGCCCAACTCCCTAAACTTATGCTTCAAGGTTTCTAGTTACTGTTGAAAATAAAAACCTTTAAAAAAATAATCCTGAAGACTTTAAATCTAGAATGCAGACGCCATTCTAATATACTGACTTTTAAACAAATCCCACTCCATCACATCACCTTTGAATACTCTGTGTTGGCAGTAACCATATTACAACTCCCAAAGACATGGGATCATAAAATCTTTAAATAAGAGTTTAATTTAAAGATGTCGGGGAAATATTGACAGTATGGGGATCCCTTCAAAGGCATACAGTGATGTTGTCCAGCACTTTAGAGTTTAATCCTGCAAATGAATCTAAATACATTTGCAATACATTTGTATCTAGATACATTTGCAATCAGGAAAAGTCCAAATGAAGAAAGCACTGACAGTCCACTTGAAAGCAAAGTTATGTAGAATTGTCACTGAGTTTGTAGTTTGGCTTCTTTAAATCAGATGGCTTCTAGTGTCTGGTATTGGTGGTTTTTCCCTGCCCCAAAAGAGTTCATGCTAGATGGACCTGTCCCGAACAAAGGTCTCGTTTAAGCAAGAAGAGACTGTGTAGAAAATACAGTTTTTAAAATGTTACCAAGAACTGTTTCCTTAGTATAACTCTCACCAGATCAAGTAACACACCAAGGCTTTTCCATTAATGCAGAATGTGACTGGTGAGCCAGGGAGGAGAAGCTTGCTTTGCCCTTTAACTTACTGCATATTTCCGATAAATAAGTAACAGATATGGAATTTGAAGGCTGCAGTTTTCAAAGTACAACTACTTGCAAAAAGAGAAATTGAAGTCAGTCCTGAAGAAAGCCATAAAAATAATAAATGACTTCAGAAAGAGACAGCTGTGCAACTTTTGAAAAGAAAACAGAAGGAGGTGGTAGTTACGCGAAAGGAAACAATAGTTTATAAATACGTAAAGCAATCCTGTGGGGATGTAAGAATCCATTATATTCTTCAGCAATGAGATCATTCAATGGACAGATTGCTGCATGAAATACTTTATTTTAAACAGCACAGAAGAGTTATGGGATTGGGATAACAACCCACGTGTTATCAGATCTCCTTAAACTGGAACATCAGTGCAAGTTTGGTAGAATCCACTGAAGGACAGAATGGGACAGTTATTGTTGTTACTTTTCAGGTTTTTCTAACAAAAATAGGGAAGTTTAGAGAAGAATTGTCTCATCCTGTCTCTCTGTTGCATATTCTTCCATCAAGTCAGTGTTCTCTCAAATTTAGTAGCTTGTGTGTGGAAAATTTGCATTGCTGTTGTTCTTTCTGCATTAAAGCTCATGCTGGCAGTTACTACCATAACCTCTAAAATTGTTTCTTGAAAGCAAGCAAGGCTTAACTGTACAGCTATCAGTGAAGTTGCATTCACGTACCACTGATGTTTTAGCACTGACAAATCTAAAATTTCCAGAGGGGATGGACAGAATGCCATTTATAATTGAAATGTCACAATCACAGATTAACAGCTTGAGGCAAAGCACAGATTAATCACACAGGACACATAAAGCAGGGTAGAGGGAAAAGCGAGTTTCTTCCCCTTTTCCTATCAACCAGTTTCTGCAGTTACACACAGAGCTGACAGAGAAGCAATACTTTTATGCTCCGCTAGGCCATTGGATCTTTTAGTAAGTTATAACTGTCAAGTTAACTTCAACCCCACACTCATTTCAATTCATTGCAAAACAAATTATTTTAACTGTATTGCATAATCTTACATACAAGGAGTTTTCACTTTTTATTCTCACTTCGAGTTTCAAACTCTGCCTCTGATCCGTTTTACCCTGATGTAAAAACTTAGATTTAACTGCAGCCTTCAGCTTTGCACAGGTGTGCAGGTAACAAAGAAACCATACAAATTCAAGCAGTGAACTCTTTCAAAAATAGTGCCAGCCTAATTACCATGCTTTGATATCATCACATCATCTTAGATGTGCCAACAAACTGGGGAACAGCTAGAGCAGCCCTTTGTTTGATATAAGTTAGGATTACCATACTGACTGTAGTCCAGCTATCCTGATTTATGCAGGCCACATAAAATACTTGTACCTGCCTACGAAAGTACGAGAAGTCCATGAACAACTACAAAGCAACCGATCCTTCTGCTTCCAGCAGACCTGGGGCCTCTACCTAGCTATTTTATGCAGTGGGGCAGCCAAGTATTCTCAAGTCCCAAACTGATTGTTGAAGTTTTTACCTCAACAGAGGTTGGCGCAGCAGAAATGAGACAGCTAAGAATCTTTGCACGGCCCTCAGTTATGCACATGCAATACCAAGGCAGCCCACGTTAGACCTGGCACTGTTAGGCCTGCTGGCACGGTTATCCTTTTCCCAGTAAGAATTCTCTGGGGTCTTTAATTAGCCTCAGAAACATTAAACACACTAAGCTGGGTCAGATAAATTCCTGTGTATTTGCCAAGTAATCTGACAGTCACATGCAATGCTGCTAATTAAGTGGGAGATGTTTACAACGCTAAGCTCCACATAACACAACACTAAAACAACACCTCAACAAAAACCTCAGCACGAGCACTGGACCTACCTACTGGAAAGATATCTGAGCCATAATAATTCTCTAAAGGTCATCCCTTTTCTGCTTAGCACCGCTGGTACTGTGTTATCACACGATCTCCAGCAATGTTCAACCGAGTACTGATAACATGGAATACCACAGTACCATAAATTAAATACAATGCTGCCGTTCTCTTTAATGAGATGGCTTTGTAGCATCAAAAAATGTTTTCCTTTCTGTAAATATGGCCTGAGCTGTGGAAGTTACTTTTGCACTCGATTTTGTGGTAACCATTTTATTTGATCATGCCTCCAAATGGTGTGGAGAGTCTCGTTATTCATTCTAAGAATAAATACTCAATGTTTAAAAGCAATATATCAGGACAGCTATTATGCACTTTAATTTTACCAGTTCTGTGAATGGGTGAAAATCTGTAAGACAAAGATCCAGCAAAGGCCTTATGTACGAGTTCCACTAGAGGAAGCCCAAACCAGTTACACGGACACAGTTATATCAAGACTGAAGACATACCTTATTTAGGTGTAATCATTCCACAATCTTATTTGATAATTTAGTTCCTGATGTGCCCAAGGCCAGGCTGGATGGGGCTGGGGGCAGCCGGGGCTGGTGGGAGGGGTCCCTGCCCATGGCAGGGGGTGGCATGGGGTGGGCTTTAAGGGCTCTTGCAAACCAAACCATTCTGTGATTCTATGCTATTGAAGCTCTTAGACACTGGACTACATTAACTAATTAAAGCACTTTAATGAAGAGGAGCCTCTCATGAAGATTTGGCACAGGATTTCATATAAAAGCACATAAATGTACAGGAACAAAAGATATAAGCAAAGAATTCAGATGAAGGCTCAACTGCACAATCTCAGCTATATCATCAGTTTCATGTGTTTTGGTCAATTTGCAGCCTGTATTTAATCAAGTACATAAAATCCTCCAATTTCACTTCTACTGAATTCAACAGAAATTGTTGACTTCAGGAGGTACTGAATCAGGCACTGTGAAATTGTTTCTGGTTTTACATACTCCAGTTTTACAGATGTAATTTCATTGACTTCAGTTAGGCTACTAGTGATTATGAAGGGCAGTACAAATTCCTCATGAGATCTCTGCATGGAAGTGAAGTGAAGAATGTTTCTGAATAGCAACTTATTTTTAGGACACTTTCCTCCCCTGTACAGATTTCAAGTCCATATTCATTCTCACAATAGCAGTAGCACTTAACCATCCTTTTCAGAGAACTACCTTAACTAGAGTCATTTGCAAGGCTTATTAAAACTTACACACCTGGCAAATTTCCTTGAAGATGAATTCTTAAGTTGTTTGTGTCCTAAAGCTCAAAAGCAAGATGTTGTCATCCAGATAAAACTTTTCATTAACAAGAGATTAACCAGCTCTTTTATGCTGCATTTGATTCTTATCAAACTCCACTTACAGATAAGTACATTTTATTGATTGAAAACAATCAAAGATCAATTCATTCCTGCTCAAACAATGCCTTAAATGGAAAATAATAAGGGCCAAGCCTCACACTTCTCCACATTACCCTGCAAGGATCAAAAAAAAAAAAAAAAAATCAAGGCAGAAAATCTACATAGCTTATCCAATTCTTTTTAGGCCCTATTTGAAATTAGGGCTTCTTCCTGAGATCCTCTCTGGTTATGTCTGTTGCAAGAACAAATTAACACAGGTTGATGGGTTGATGTCATCTCACAGAGCTGTAGCCATCATTACTATATGCATAGGAAACACTCTTGAGAAGTAGCTGGTGTAAAGACATTTGCATAGCAGTACCACAAACGTGAACACTGCTCACCAGTAACTGGAATTTAAGATGTGCAGAGCCAAGGAAACTTCAATCAATTTCCAAAATCCTCTCAAGGTCTATCCATGAAGGTGACCCACCTTCCATCTCACCCTCTTCTCATGGATAGTTTTATGATGTCAAAATTGTCTGAACATAACCATCTTGTTCACAATAATTTAAGAAACACTAGAACTACAAAGGAAGGTAAACAGTGAAGGAAGATGTCAGAGTTCATTTGTTTAGAAAGTCTAAATCGTAAATAACTTCAGTTTCTTCTTTGACTTCCCTCCCCACACTGCCACTTCTAAAAGGGCATCTCAGAAGTGCTCAGTGGGCAAGGACAACAAAACTACAAAATGAACACCAAAACATGACCCTAGGTTTTGGATGCTGATTGTTCATACAGAGGGAGAAATTCTAGTCCTAATAATGCAGACAGCCAACAGAGTAAGCAGCCCTCTAAAAGATGAAAGTTTAGTATTTTAATTTACTTTCCATAGCAGTTAACAACCTAAAGGAAAGTTATTTAATCCTCAGCACCAACAGAGTCAAGACAGAAGAAAAGGTTTTTAAATGAACTTAAGCCAGGCACAAAAAAAAAAAAATAAAAATTAAAAAATTAAAAATAATTAAAAAAAAAAAAAAACCAGCACATACAGGACATCTGCTGCATTTAACTCCTCACAGCCACCACAGTTTAATTTGACTTAGGTGAACCCGGTGATTTCAGCGTGGCTGCATTTACCACCCACAAAAAGAAAACAAAGAACAAAATCCACTGTGGTTCTGCAAAGGGTATTGCTTAGCACCAAGTACAGATGAAAGCATATACCTAAATACACACACATTACATAATTATATTTACCTAAAGTCCCCAAGAGATAACAGGGGAAAATAGAATCCTATCAAGGAAAGGTGAAGATGAACTACCTCAGAACCAGGCTCACCAAACCTTCAGAGGGACATGAGGACAGCTGGGCTGCTCTCCCTTTGATGCACTTGAACACTTCATATGTGAAAGCACCTAAAAGGTCAGCAGATCAGAAGAAACATCTCAAAATCCTTCTGAAAACTTGCTTCATAGGCACCTTCATCCCATTAGCATGGACATGCAGAGAACACCAAAAAAAGGTCTTGCATCATCGGAGTCCTGTGCTCAAACTCCTTAACCAATCCATGACTGTGGCATGCTTTAAGGTTGGGATTCCAAATAACAGAAACACACGTGCCCTTATAAAAAAAAAAAATGATTAAAAAGTAAATAATTACAATTGATTCTGATAAGATTGTCTGGAGCACAAATAATAGCAGTCACCTTGTTTCTACCTTTTTTTTTGTTGTTCCTAAATTTTCTAACAACAGTCAGTTTCTAAAACTTCAATACTGTGTATGAGTGAAAAAAAGCATATAGAAAGTTACAGAAAGGGGATTATCATAGTAACTTTTTCCATCTCAGTGGCAGTTAAAAAGCTAGCTGTTTGTATTCTACCTTTGCAAGCTGCACAAACAGTGTAGGACATATGCCTGCAACTCTCCACATGAATAATCTGAATAACCATACATACCTCCAGTCCCAGGTGTGCAGGAAAATCCAGTGCTGTAGGAAGCGCATTCACTCACAGTTAACTGTTTTTAATTATCTTTAAATCAACAATTATTGCTATAAGATCCCCCAAACATTTTTTAATAAAAAATTAATTTGCTAGTCACAAATTAATTAGTCTGCGATAAAATTAGTTGCATCTTTTTAAATGAGATTTTGCAATGAAGGTCAAGGGCAGTAAGCATCTACTTCAAGTTCTAAAAGCCATTGCTTTTGGATTATGAAGTACTCTCAAATTTATTTTGCCTCAAGGAAATGAAAAATTGCTTCCATTGTGTGATGGAAGAACAGACTTAAGAGAAAATACAGCACTTCAGACTTCAGTGGATAATCAAATTAAAATCACTGAGACAACGTTTTTGAGAGGAGTTTGTTCAATTAGAGAAAGCCAAGTTTGTACAGAAACCTAATCATGGCAGTAAGTTTTCAAAACCTGTGGTATTGTTAGGAAATACATCTACCGGTGATAAGAAATGGCTCGACTGCTTCTATTCCTCAGCAACCTACAAATCTGGCCCTCTAACGTTTTAGGACTAAGGCAGCCTGCAGCCATACCACTCCAATAGTGCCATCTGCTGCGTATTTTTAAAGTTCACAGGGGTCTGCAGATGCAAGTGTGTAAGGACTGAATGACTGATTTAAACCAGTGTCATCATTTCAATTCTGTGTGTGTATATGACAAGATTTTTCTTTTAATTAGCAAAACTTAAACAGTTGTTCCATTACGGTGTAAGAGCAGAAGCCAGTTTGCAAGTTTATGTCAGTGGTGTAACAAGGATTAGCTGCATCAACTCGCCATACATCCAAAACACATCCCTATTTACTTAGTGAGCCTCTGTAAATTAGCCCTGCACCTCATTTTATGAATCATATCCTGGCTGCAACTTATTCACAAAACACACATGCGTATGTATGCACATACACACCTTGAGAGCAAGCAAAGTACAGGCTCACAAATATATACATACACACGAGCACGCCTCCTGAGACCCGGTCAAGATGCCATAGCTTCCCCTGAAAAGAAAAAACTGCAGGGTGTAAGGGGTTGGCTCAGCAACACAAAACTACTCCTATTCCTGGTTCCACTGATCTTCGGGCTTCTGTTTTCTATTCCCTATTTATATTTTTGCTATTTACTCATGCAACTTGGGAAGAGACAGCCCTGTATAATGCATTTGTGGAGCTAAGAGTGATGGCTCTTCCACAAGCCTGAGGTGCTGGTATTGTACAAATGATTAAAAATCATAATACTTTCTGATCAGATACAAACTCACATTTTAACTACAAATTCACATTTTAAATGCCCTTCTAAAGAGAAGTTAAATGTCCGTCTTTTAAGACAGAGCCTACACGTCACGTCAAAGGATGTTACCGCAGTAATTCTGCCTGCAACACACACTCAGGTTGTACAAGTCACTTTCTTAGGAGGGCAGTGAGTCAAACACCGTGCCTGGAATTTTAAAAAGCTTGGGTAACTTTTATGAGCATTAATAATGTTTGTATCGAGTGCAAGCTCAAACTGTAACGGTATTAATTAAATCACCTGCCCCAATGTAAGAAAACAACTGCCTGAAGGTCCAGGGGGAGACTCCACGTGCCACCAAGTCAGAAGACTGAAAAAACAAGGCGACTCAGGTACTCCTTTCCGCAGAGCACCAGGTGTTTGCCACTGCTGAAGGCAGGATATCCACACAGATATAGCAGAACCATGACACATCAGAACAACTCTTAGCACAACACATGATTTTTCAAGGGTTAAGAGAGGGAAGCTAACCTGAGGAGTGTCCACAGCGTCTGATAAAGTATTGTGCTTACTTTTGTGTCCCTGGCAAGGGCAGAAAAAAAATGCAGCTGGGGTAGGGAACGTGTTTTGCAAGACACAAGCACATTGGGAAGGCAGAAGCAATTAGTAAGTGAATTAAAGCAGGTTTACACCTGAGCCTGTTGAGCCTTACCAGAACTCTATGCACCTAACTCTGTAGCTGGAGCTTTGTCACCTGCGAACACACAACTTCCAAACAGGTTCCTCAGATCTGTAGATTTTGAACCCGATTCAGTCAATCATTTATAATGCAAATGAGAGCATAATTTCTGCCAGTAACTGGAAAAATACAGCACAATGGCATTCCCTCCACACTCTGCCCTTTCACACTGTTTTTGTGCAATGTTTCTCATCGCAAGGAACCTAGCAGCTGAACAATTATATTGACTCTGCTGTTTAACAGCATTATTTTCTCCCATGCAACTCTCTTGGACCCTCGTAACAGCATCAAGAGGAGATATTTCAGGGACAGAAACTTGCAGCTGATACTTCAGACAGTCTCATACTTTAATTGACATGATCCAAAGCCATGCACTTTTTTTAATATAATTATTAGATAACACTGTAACATGTAAGAATGTTTAAAATGTGGCTCACCACGTGTTCAAAGAGTTTATTCAGCTCTCAGTACATAAATTATTATTTCTGCAGCTTATTTCATTTTATAGAAATGCAGAAAAAAATGAATGAGTGCAAGGAAGGAATTTCTATCTCTGGCTTCCCAGTTTCAAGTGTCGTTGGCACACACTGTTTTGTCTTTGCACCCAGGAATACTTCAAACACATTCTGAAAAGGGAACGATAAGAACAAGGTTGTTATTAAGGTTCTCAGTCCAGTCCCCATCCCACTGCCCAAAGAAGCTGCAACAAGAATGAAGCTGGATGAAAATCAAGGAAGGGAGAGTAGAGGGGGAAAAAGGCACAAAATACACAAGAAACCAGAGGAAAGATTTTTTTCCTGATGCAATTACTGTCATGGGCAGGTCCCCACGACAGTATCCCTTTAAGAATTAACATTACTATATAAACCAGTATTATCCAGCCCTCTTTGCACCTGACTGTGTTCAATGAGGTTTTGTATTTCACTGTTTTTTTTGGCAAAGCCTCATGCGCTCACAACCTTAAGTCAACATTGAATCCAACTATCCAGTCATAATCATGAACCCTGTATGCAGGAGCTCAAGACACGCTGCACAAGAACAAGCTGACAGAAATCCACGACTTCAGAGTAGACAGCACAACTTCTGAAAGAAATCACCATACTCAGAAGAAAGTTGCTTCTTCATTTAGGAAGATTTCAGATGCTTCATATTTGATTTATTTTTTTTTTATTTTTTTTTTGCCAGTACAATGAAGGAAGTGGCCTGCTTTTGCATGAGTTTTTCTTCCTTGTGGGAACAGATGGTAAAGGCTTACAAATACATAACTGGTATTTTTTCAGTGACTCATACCTCAGAGCAACAAGCTTCAGATCATGATAAGCAGCCAACCAAGATGGATGTAACCTTACTTGAGGAGCAGTATGACCATATAAAACAGAAGCAAAAGCTGCAGTCACACATTATTGTATTTAAAACAGGTATGCTTAGATTTCTAGGAAACAATGTAAATGTAGATGTAAATCTTTTACTTTAAATACTGAATAACTTTCTTTGTTCTTTTTATTCACATCTTCAAGAGAGGTACAAAGTGAACTCCTTTTCTGTCACTTCATTGTGTGTGTTTTTTTTTAATTCATTTCACTAAAAGGCAGTCTTATGGTTATATCAATCAGTTTCACAGCAGTGAAACACTAACGTGAATGTGAAACAGATGAACGTATTTGATATAAGGTTTTAGTCAGGAAAGTAGAGTTCTTAATCTTGATGCTTACTCTTACAGGAGCCACGTACTTCACATCTATCATCAGTTTATTTGTGCGATGTACTCTGCAACATTTCTGCTTTCTTGAATGCTTCTGTCAGAACAATCAATGCTGGGTCTTCTCTTTTTCTCTTCTCCTTTACCTATGAAATGCCTTCTGCAAGACTGCAAGAAGTAATAGCAAATATCAGGCATAAGCTGGGCTTTCGATTAACAACAACAAAAATAATGTACTCTCATAGTGGGTAAATAAGATACAATCTTTGAACAAAAGGCTTCTGAAAGCATTTTCATGGCACATAGCTCAGAAAATATATAAATTAAATAAATAAAAAAGTAATGAAGTATCAATCATCTACCTGCTATGTCAGACAGCTTTTACAAAACAAATATTCAACTACTTTGAAGTTTTTAGTTAGACTGCTGCTTACCATATTGCTCTGATGTGCTTTCATTTCATTTCATTTCTAAGTTAAAGTGATATTGAGAATACTAACTCCATTAATGAAGTTGTCTTTGAATGTAATATTATGTAATAATGAATGAATGTAATAATAATATGCACAACCTGCTTCCTTCACCTCCAATATTAATATTTAGCTCAACAAATGCAGAACTTGGGCTATCTCATTCTTTACATTTTCTCCTATATTTTTCAGCAGTTTTGGATTTTGGTGGTCAGACCTTATCATCAAAACAATTGAAAAAACACATCATGAGCCATAAAACAGATTAACTTCTTCAATATCATTTCATTCAACTGTCTAGAAATTGTAATGTTAAAAGAATTTAAGCCTCTGTGAGGAAGAAAAGGATATGAATACACAGGTTTATTTTATCAGGTATGAGAAGGAAACTAACATAAAGACAAAACAGGCCATCTAGTCAACTATTGCAACAACAAAACCAGGTAAAGAAAGGAAGCAGAGGTCTGTATTTAGGTGAAATTCAGACAAAACTTCAGATATAATGAATATAGCCTTTGAATATTTATTTATTTATTTATTTTCCAGTACAGCAATAGAAGTTTAAAGAATGATAAAGCAGGGCCATATGGTTTCTAGGAAGTTTAAAATTTAGAAGAAATTTTTACATATAAAAAACATACATAGAAAATTTACATATTTTCATGTACATACACAGAACCCAAAACATCCACAGAAACAAAACCCTCTGCATTGAACTCTTCAGCAAGCCATGTGGAAAGGATTAATGTTGCAGTTAGAAGCAGCTGATTGTTGTTGTTGTTGTGCTGGGTTCTCTGTGTCCTGAGAATTAATCTTAAGCATTCCTATGGTTTGGAATTTGGAAAAACCTATTACATAGCTCAGCACTTTGAAGCTGTTACGTGAATCAGTTTCTAAGAGCACGTCAAGCAGCAACACACATCGAGACAGCATATTGCCCTCTGCTCCTTCAGTTACAAGCTTGAACTAACCAGAGCTGTTAAGAAATAATGAGTTACTAACTGGTAAGCCACCTGAAAACAACTTTCTTCTGTTCCTTCCCCAAAACACACAGCCACAGTCGCACTTCTGCCTGTTCCTGATTATTTGAGAAGAAAAGCTGACAAGACTTGAAACTCCCCAGGTAGGGGATGATACAGCAGTGCATTCATTATTCATTGGCTGCGAAGCAGAAAAGCAGTGTTTGCTGTAGGAATTAAAATAGCATTTGGAGCACTGCAGTGGCAACAGAGTAAACACTGGGCCTCTGACTGCAGAAATCTCCTCCAAGAGTTTCCCAAGCTAACTTGAAGCAAGATCAACTTTTGTTACTTCACAACCGTAAAAGCACCTGCGATGACATAGAAAAGGCCGCATGGTAGACAACCCTGCAACAAGGCTATTATGTGCAATTAAAAAAATAATCCGTCTTTTCCAATGACCAAAGATCTGATTCGAGCTTTCTTTAGAAGTTCAGGGTGCTGAATGTTTGTTAATTCTACAGAGGACTTCAACACTCCTATCGGAGCTCATTGCTCAATTTTGTGTGCCACACCTGCAGCCAAGGAATCAAATCAAACCTGAACCGAAAACCAGTTCAGGCTATTTGACTTGGACTGATGTGTTACCCTGAACTCTCTGATCAGCTCAAGCCAGCCTGGAATTCTCCTGATGACCAGTTCAAATGGTTCTAGATAATACCTGACATTGCCTATCAATGCCAGTTCATCCAGGAGTGTAGTTATACCCACAAAAAATGTGCAAAGCTGCATCCCTTCAGTCTCTCAGTTCCTCCTTTCTCTCACCTTTTCTCTCACAAGTGAAGAACAAGCCCTTGCTTTGTAGGTTGGTGCTGCACTGTGCTGTTCTGCAGGCTTTAGAAGGATCTCCTTTGCAAGTGAACTTTTTTGCAGCCCCCAAGCTGAGCTTTATTTCCTGGGCAAAGTCCATTTGTAGCTTTGATTCTCACTGCTCCACAATAGAGCACTGTGTGATCTTATCTCTAAGAATGGTTTCACCCTAGGAAATTCTCTGAGCATATTTCACTGTACAGACATGTGCAGAGACACATCCGTACCTCTACTCGCCATGTCCTTTCATCTCTTCTCTCCTGGTGGCACTGCAGGAGGATGGAAGAAGTGGGCTCACGTGGTTCCCACTGCCAAGAGCCACCAAGCAGCCCACATCAGATCAACCATACGCAGACAGCTGAGGGAGCAGAAAAAATTCAGTGAAACTGTGCCGATGTCACTGCTTGAGCAGTGGGAGCCAGAGACGGTGATGGAAGCCCCTCCTCAGCTGAAGCCCTGTTGCACAGGACCATTTACTGCCAGTATATCAGCTGGTCCTGACATCTTCAAAAAGGTCCTTGTTAAATGTCATGAAAGGCAGCTATAAGTTTTTTTGTGTGCGCATGCATTTTTTAAGGCAACTTCCTATTCAAACCAGCTTCATTTCAAATTCAAGGTGACAATTATTTGGAGCAGCTATTCAGCTCTCCTGTTTCAAAACACAATCACCACTCTATTTTTTTCACTTCAATATGCTTTATAATTCATCTTGCAACAGACACAGTTCCTGTAACTCAACCCTGTAAATAAGGTCAGCATTCTCTTACTCCTACTCCTACTTTAAACTATATTTATAGTAACTGAAGTGTATTTCATTAGCACTTACAATGACAACAGCGCTGTTTGCTTATCTTTAGTATAATGGTTCAGCTGCTATTCATTTCCAAGGCACAGGCCAGTCGTGTTCAGAAATCTGATGGCTGCTATGTGTAATTAAGGTAGCATTAGAGTTTCTATCCTTAATATCTTATACATTTCTAACAGTAACTTTCATACCACATGAGAAATTAAGCCATAGAGATGGAAAACAATACAATTAAAAAATAAAATACACACCTCTGTGTTAATGACCCTTGTTCAGAAAAAGAAGAAATTTTCAGATGATTTTTAGGTTGTGAATACAAGCCTCAAGCAGTATCGAATTAAACATTTTTCTCTCTCACATCACAGTACCTATCAACACACTGAGCAAGCCCTCGTTCACCTTAAGAATTTTTGCTTACAAGCAGTTAATTACTAAAAGTCAATTCTCAATCTGTGCTGTTAATGAGTCTTAGAGTAGTGCTTAGATCAATATTGACTTGATAAATCTCCATTATCTTTTGACTGATCCTATCGTAGCATTTATGTCCTCAAAACTGAACGTGAAATACTTCTACTCCGTAATCTGGCATCAAACGAACTTGTACTACTCTCAGTCAAAGATGGAAAGAGTACAGATAAACTCAGCTGAAGAGCTTTAAAGGAGGAGTGTGTGCTACAGAAATTAGACCCTTAATTTCTGCCACAGTAATAAATTGCATATATGCAATTCTCTTGCAGGTGCACAGGAATCTGTTCTCCCAGAATCGATGGTCAGCACTGTTTTAATTAATAAAAAAGTTAGAAAATCGAAGTCATTTACAGAACATGTTCCCATCAGAAAGGTCAGACTGGAGGTGACCAGCAATGGCAACGTGCAAGACAACTCACCGTGGCGCACTCACCTGGGAATTCACCGCTTGGCGCAAGCCCCTTGTCAAGAAGTTCCCTGGGATCCTTCTCACTGCAGGAATGGACCATGCAGTTTTGACAACCAGAGACTGATTTCAAAGGAAAGCAGCCCACTGCAGCACCAGGAATTAGAAGGTGAGGGTGAACTATCTGCACTCAGTCAGCTGGGAAGTTCAAGCATGGTGAACGGTTTCAGCAAAGAGAACAGCAGCAACGTTGCAGAAAGCTGCCCAGAGCCTCCTCCGAAATCAGTCGCTTCGGCAGTTTGGATGCAGCAATACATTTCCTCTACAAAATGCACGCCAGCTTGCCACAAGCTAGACTTTTACCCTTTCCCCAATAAAAAAGCACCCAGAATTTCCGAAGCAGCAAGGAGGCTTGGGTTGTACGTCTCACGATGAAGACCTTCGGTAATACCTAAAATTTAGTCCAAGAAAAAAAAAAAAGAATAAAGCTTAAAACAGCAAAACAGTCTTCCTAGTTACCCTGATCAACCTGCTGAAGGCCTAATTAGTCAAGGAAGATCTTCTCTAAGTAATCTGTTGCTTTTCAGACCAATGTAAAGTGACATTGTGTAATGAAGACGCTGGACTGCAACAGAAACTCACTTCTGCTGCTATTCCAGATACAAGAGCAATTATCTGTTTGTTTGTTTCCTTCTCTATTTTCAGGTTACTTGTTTTAGAAACTAAAATTTTATCACAACAGCATTTGAAATACCTGAAAGAGCTGGAGCAAAGATTAGCAAAACTGCTAATGAAGCAACTTGGCTAAATCTCAGTGTGGTACAATTTGACTAGACAAATAAGTAATGAAGCAGTATTGAAGGTGATTTATACAGTAAACATGATTCGATAATTATCTTTCCTTTTGGAACAGTTGAAAAGATATTCGTGATACTTCTCAGTGTATTTTTAAAATCAATGAATAAAACCTGTGCTCATTTCTATTGTTGTTTTAATGGGATATAGTAAATGGCACCTTTTCCCTATATGTAAATCCTATTAAAACATACTGCTGGTTCCATTCCGCCCCCAGAATTTCATTAAAAAAACAAAATTCTGAAATAGTTATTTCATTCCCCAATACCCTACAGCAACATACCTTCCTTACCAGAAATATAACACACCTTTCTGCTGCTACAGCTGGATGCACTCAAAGGGAATGTAACCTACACAAATAAAACTGCAGTGACACAACTTCTTATGGATAAGGCTTAATGTTTGCTGTTGTGGCACAACTGTACCACAAACCCATGCTATTTTTATTTTATTTTTTTAAGGAAGTTGTTATTTTTGTCTCCCTTCCTTTTACACCTTTGTCAAAGGAGACTGTCCCACGTGCTTATCAATGAAAAAAGAAAAAAAACATGCTACATATCGCCCACTTTTGGAGGCAAGTGGTAGGACAGGTCTCTCTGTCATAAGTTTCAGGAAAACTGAAGAGTTGAGATGTCTCCTTATTTCATGAGGACTGATTTTGAACTATACCCCTGGCAGCCACTGGCTCTTCTAAACTATTCCACATCTACCACAGCCCTAAGAGGAGAGCAAAAGAAGGATCAGGTGGATGGCCCACAAACTTCACAGCCCTATAAAGAACCAGCTGGCACACAGACATCACAGCCTATGCTTCCATTGCAGAAGGTTCATAGCCATAAGTACAGAATCAGAGAATGGTTTGGGTTGGAAGGGACCTCAAAGTCCACCTGGTTACAATGCCCTGCGATGGGCAGGGCCCCCTCCCACCAGCCCAGGCTGCCCCCAGCCCCATCCAGCCTGGCCTTGGGCACTGCCAGGGATGGGGCAGCCATAGCTCCTCTGGGCAGCCTGGGACAGGGCCTCACCACGCTCTGAGTGAAGAATTTCCTTCTTTATATCTACTCGAAACCTACTCTCTTTCAGTTTAAAACCATTAGTTCTTGTCCTATCCCTACACCCCCTGCCTAAGAGTCCCTCCCCAGCTCTCCTGCAGCCCCTTTTAGGCCCTGGCAGGCCGCTGGGAGGTCTCCGCGGAGCCTTCTCCTCTCCAGGCTGAACAACCCCAACTCCCTCAGCCTGGCTCCACAGCAGAGGTGCTCCAGCCTCTGAGCATCCTCGTGGCCTTCTCTGGACTCACCCTAAAAGTCCCCGTCCTTCTGGTGCTGGGGGACCCTGATCTGGATGCAATCCCTGTGAGAATACCCCAGTACCGTGGCACACAGTACTACGGTGTTTTGTAAGAGTGCAGAAAATTAAAGAATATCATAGAATATAATGCTGTTCTAACCCCTCTTGCCAAGCCTCCTTTTTTTCTGTGCCACTCAACACCATTCCAGACCTAAATTCTCTCGTGTCCCACACTGATCCAGCCAACATCAGTAGACAGGCAGGCAACTGTCTCCTGGAAGTGACCATTCTTACGAGAAAGGCAAAATAATATCGAAGTTCCTTAACAAAATTCTCTAAAGATATACTTCAGTAGCTTTTACTGATCTTCTTGCTCAGGACTTGCTTAGTAATGTATTTTGAGATGCCACACTGAAAAGCAGCAGCTGTTACTGATAGTGATGAGTATGCCCCAGTAACTCCTCAAGAATTTTTCATTCATCTTTAGTAAAAGCAGCAGATTGAAGACATCAGTTTGGTAGAAGCATTCATTGTGATTTTTCAGTGTTTTCAATTTATTTTTTTTTGATGTTTTCAATAAACTGGCTTGCCACAGACTGGTTTCCAGCTCAGATACTGATTCCTATTTCAGTGTAGGCATGAAACGTCAATAAGCAATCATAAACACTTAAAGAAACAAACCAAAACAGCAACAAAAAACAGTACTTAGAGTACTTAAAGAAAGATTAGAAAGGAAAAAAAAAATAGATAAAACAGATATGAATAAGAGGTATAGATACAACAGGGATAAAATACTAAATAACCAGCCATAAGAACCTGGAGAGAAATATTGAGGGACAGTGAATTTTTTGAACTATGTGATACACGTTAGCTTTCTATTTACCTGACTTTCTTATTACAGAGTATATTGATTTGTACTCCAGCCTTTCATTATACTGGAGTGTTATTTTTGTTGCATCTCCAAGTCTGTAGACCATAAGAGAATCACATAAAGCCAAAGGAATAACTGAAAAAAAAAATCCCATGCTAGCAAGAAGCCACTATAAGAACTATTAAAAATTTAATTTAAGGTCATATTGGCTGAGTACTTGCAGTAAAATAGTCAAAAACATTTCAGTGAATGCAACTTCTAAACTTTTAAATCATTATCACAGAAATTTTAAAACGTTATCTGGCCACTTACCTATTCTATAAACCTATTTGATTAAATTAGCAATATTATTTTCTGCAAATACTTTTAAATTGTTTTTAAAGTGCTTTGAATTAGTTATCTTAATTAAACATGGATCCTTGAATACTTTGATTTAAAACTCGGTGAAAGTTTAAGCATGGACTAAGTAACTCAGTCCTTTGTAGGCACTTTCATGCAAACACTTCAGCCTTTCCTGAGTGTTCTCCAGCAAACTTGCTTGCTTTTTGCTTTGTACTAGCTGGAGCTTAATTAGGAAGGGCATTCTGCCTCTGGAGAAGTCTTTCAGCTTAATTCCTAAGGTCATTATGGAAGATAAATTTCAATGAATTTTCACTTGTTAGTGGAGTATTTTTAGTTCTGAGAAAAGTTGTTATATTTCACGAGAACGAAATGTTACACAGGTACATTGCCTGAGGAGAATTCTACTTTTTTTTTTTTTTTTTTTTTTTTTTTTTCCCTCTAAAGCAGCCCTAGTATAAATGAAAATGAAATAAAGGACACACTTCATGAGAAGAAAAATGGAAACCTTCAAATATTAGCAAGTCCCAGTTCTCAAGTGCACCTGATTTGCAAAACCCTTTGCTGTTTGGAGCTTCTTCATGTTTGGAGATCATGGGGGAGTAACTACCATCACTGCGTTACTCAGCTTCAGCAGAGTTTCAAGCATTGAACTCAAGACTTGTCATAAAAGCAAGTTCAGTAACAATACCCTTATTTCACCCATGGGCAAACTTGAATGATTTATGCACGTGGGGGAGCCTGGAATCCTGAAATTCTAGTTCAGAGTCGTGTTCATGAACCACGGTACCTGTGAAGTTCACATTTTCTAAGCTTCAGAATGCAGCACCCCCACCTAGCTCCATGACTGAGTAAGGAATATGTTTTACATAAGGACTGACCTGCAGGGCCATCTGTTCTGGAATAAGTAATATTCTTGGGCAGCGCTTTAACTTTATCAGAGCAGTTAGAAGAAAATCCCTTAGCTGCTGGGACAACTGGGCTCAAGAGAGTATTAACCCACAAGTTAAAGCATTCTTTTAATGGGTTACATCAGAAATAATGATGTCTTTTACAGGCCCCAATAGGGTTCCAGGAGCAAGCTGAATTCTGATTTTTGGGTACACCTGGAGCCAGGAGTTGGACTCAATGGTCTTTGTGGGTCCCTTCCAACTCGGGATATTTTGTGTTGCTATGAGCTGCAAACTTTTGGGAGTCTCTGGTGCAAGTGTAACACCAGACAGCCCACCTGGCCTCACAGCCTGTTCCCAGCAATGGGGCATTACAGGGACGGCAGGAGGAGGTAAAAGGCATGCCTATGGACCACAACACACGATGTATTTCTCCACTCAGGTCTCTGAAGCCAGTTTAATTTTAACACCCACACAACAAGCACAAATCTGTTCTCCAAACCATTTTCGAGGGGACAAGCAGACATTGATTCTTGAAAGAACTCTACAACTCAAAGTAAATGAGTTAGAAAGTAGGTGTGTGGTTTATTTTGGCATCGGGTGCATGTGGGATAGCTCCCAAGTGCATGCACACCTTAACACTTGACTTGCTTTGGTTATATACAGGAAAAAGTTATATATGCATGAAGTTTCCCAGTACACCTATACATATGAATAACCTATCCCTGCTTTGTATTAAAATTAGCTCCAAGAAGTCATTTCCACAAACTCCTCCCATCTGTGCCTGCTGGTGGTCATTGGGGGGGTCACAGGGATGAAGGCCGATAACTCCTCTTCATCACCACTGCTTGACCCCCTGCCTTTGTACAGACTCACCTGCTCCTTGGCTCTTGTCCAAACCATATGGTTGTTCTCAGCTGGTTTTTAAGACAGGTCTTCCCCATTTTTGTCAGGAAACATCCTCTTGGGAGGGGCCCTGAGACTCCTCGTTTGGGTTCATTTGCACAGCAGGTAAGCAAAGACAACTCAGCAATGTCTATTGGAGTGCGATTAAGCAACCCCCCAGCCTTTCATTCCTGGCTTCAAAAATTACGATTGCTTTATTTAGCCATTTATTTAATTTATTTGATTTATTATTTGATTTATTTATTATTTAATTTATTATTTAATTAATAATGCAATTAATTAAATTTAATATTATTTAATTAATTTTTTTTTATTTAATTAAACATTTAATACGACTAAGCAAGCCCCCACTCTTTCATCCTCTAATTTCAACCTAACATTGCTAAAACACATCCCCCCCCCCCCCCCCCCTCAAACTGAGGGCAAAGCCCTAAGATGGCGGCGGGGGCTCGGCTTCACCCACGTGACGCGCGCCCGTTCTCCCCGGGCTCCTTCCGGCCTGGCTGAGGCAACCGGCCTCCAGCGGCCGCCGCCCGCTCCGTGAGGCCGAGGAGGCGGCCGCCATCCCCCGGAGCCCCCGAGGGGGGCTGAGGGGCAGCCGGGCAGCACCCCCGAGACCCCCCCCGAGCCCCTCAGGGATCTGCTGGGCCCCCAGGCTCGGCCTCCGCCGTGGAGGCTCAGGTGGGTGCCCCCCGTTCTTAGGGCGCGGGGAGATTTTGGGGTGGGTGCTGTCGCCATGGTGTCGTGACAGGGGTGTGATGGTGGTGACAGGGGTTTGGGGTGCCAAAAGTGCTTCGTGGTTTTGCCCGTGGTGCTGCTTGAGGCTGCGCAGCCTCCCTTAAGCCGTGGGGGTACCAAGTGGATGCTCCAGGGAGCCTCTGTTTAACCCCTATCTTTTTGTTATAACCTCAATAATATTATTTATAACTGCTGTGGTATTTATTATTTATGACCTCACTGAGCATCTTCTGCCCCTTCCCTTCATTTTATTTTTTTTCACCCTTATTTCTATATTTATTTTCGTTTCTCTCACCTATGAGGCCAGCTGGCCCCAGAGGATAACCCCCGAGCTACCAAAACTCCCTCCCTGGCATCCCAAAGCCCCTCCCAATTCTTCACCAAAACAGCTTTGAGAAAGTCCCTTTAAACACTTACCGAAAGTGAAAGCATTTCAGGCACACTTGTTGTGCTGGCTGGTGGCGAGGTAAGTCACAAAGGCATCGTTAGAGATCCTCTTGCAATTTGGTTACATTGAAATATTAATTTATGAAAAACGGGAGATATTTTGCATATAGAGGGATAGATTTTTGGTTGTGAAAGGGAAACTTGCCCTTTTTTTATGCAGGATGGGAAAGGGTAAGTTTATTTGGAGGCTGCGGTGTTGTTTTCTGGCTTAGTAGATGAGTAAGAAATCACAAACGTACAAAACTATAAAATAGGATATTCATAAAAAGATAAGTGTACAATTTGTAGCCTTATTTAACCTTATTGCAACTTTAGACATTTCTGGATGCCCCAAAGCTGTGGATACCTTTTTGTTTCTTAGGTTTATGTTAAGTAGACTATATATAGGTATGAGGCGCTTCTTCAGCATACCCTAAATATGCAAAACTCAGTGTTAAAAGTTATTAATGGAAATTACGTGGCATAGTTTGGAAAACGAGAACAGCTCCGTCAGTAACTTTAAGACAATCTTTGGAAAATGGAATGTGTTTGTTGCGTTCTGCTTGTAAATGCCATATTTTGCTGTAGCTGTAAGGTAATAACAGCATCTCAGCAAGAAAAAGCCAGGCTGCCTCACCTGGTTTGGCCAGACACTATGTAAATGATAGGAAACAAAGCAGAAGGGTTGTTAAAATCCCCACTTGTTTCAGTTAGCCACTCTGGCTCTTCTCTAGAAGAGACTCTTGTCTTTGTAGTATTCAAAGATTCTTTGTAGCTCACTAAAGCTGGGGCTGAGATGCTGCTGACAAGTGAATTTAGGAGCTGTTGGATTTTTGCCTAGTGTGTCTTTTTGTTTTTGTTGTTTTAGCTTTTTTTTTTTTCCAGAAAGCATGTCTTAAGCAAGGAACCGGCTTTGTGCAAATGGGTGGTAGCATCTGATTCTCCTATTCTGTCCCCTTCTTCCTGAGAGCTCTGTGCTGATGTACAAGAATAAGAAAATGAAACCACTCTCAAAAGAAAAATGAAACCACTTAATCAGTTTTGATGCCAATCTCAGTGCACAAATGCCAACGCTTTTTAAGTGCCTTTCTATATAAATTAAAAGATGTCTTGCATATGATTCCAAATGTCCAAAAGCCAAGTGCTCCTTGCTTTAATATCCAAATCGATTTTTTTTTCTGTCGAGATCACTGCATCTGCCTTTCCTTGCCCTCTCTCTGCCTTCCCTGTTTCTTGTTGTGGTTTTCGTTTGTTCTGCTTTGTTTTCAGGGATGTGCTGCTTCCCTCACAGAGGTTACTGCTTCCTCTCAGCTGAATAACCTCTGGTGATGAATTTAGCCTAAACTATAAACTATTACCTGGGAGACAGGGAACTGCTCTGCTCAGCCACAACCATCTTCTCCCCAGTGATGGGAACTTTATCGCCGGCTGCAGATTTACAGCACGCATCACCTCTAATCTCAGTCTCCGTTCTTTATGTTGCTTGTGCCTTTTCTAACTTTGCAGTGGGAGTGGGAAGAGCATCTCTTGGACTGTGACAAGTGATGCCCTGCTGTTCCATTGTTGTGATACCAGAATTTTACAATTCCATTTAATGATACTGTTCAACATGCTTTCTTGTCAAGCGATTGAGATTGGGGAGACAAAGATCTCTCATCCCTGTAGCAGATCTCACTTTGCCAGAGGGATGAGAACTTTACCCTATGGTATTCTCATGGCGAGGCTTGTGGTACTGAGATGCTTCTTCCTGATAGCTCCTTTCTGTCTTGCCAAAGAGGGTAATAATTCATGTTCAGCCTCCACTGGTGTAGAAAGGCTGTTGAAGCAAGGAAGCAGGAGAAGCAGAAAGGCAGAGGTACAGCAAGAAAATGTTTTAAAAGGGGATTGGAATGAGCAGCCCTTTCCAGGGCAGGGCAGAAGAATTGTATCACAGAGTCTGATGAATCAGCACATTCTGTAATTCCATTTTACGTGAGGGGTTAGGAAGAGATTTAATGTCTTGAAATACCAAGGTGCAAAGCAGGAGACTCCTGAATTAGCTCCGTCTCAGTCCAGCTCTCACCCTCTTTTCAGGGTTTTTGATAATAGTTTGGTTGTCAGATTCCCCTCATCACCAAAATGCATGGGATGCATTTTATACTCAAGGGGATTGTTTGTTTGTTTGCTTTTGTTGTTTCTGTTTGTTTTTAGAGTTCTGCAATATTGTTTAGGCTCAGTAAAAAAACACTATCTTAATACAGGAAAGCTATATGAAAAGACTGATTATTTTCCTTTCTTTTTCCTTCCAACAATGCTTTTGTTTTAAAAGGATGGCACAAAAGAAGTATTTAATAGCAAAACTGACAAGTTGCTTACGAGAAGACAAAATTCAGCTATGGAAACCACCATACACAAATGAGAATAAGGAAGCTGGTGAAGAGATGAAGGTAAATGTTCTGTCTTGAGTTGGTGTCACGTGCTTTTCGTGTCCTGTTACTGGTGTATTTTGCCAGTTTTTTTTCTTGCTGTTTCCTTAGGAGCTTGCACAGAAATATTCATCCAAGCTGAATATCAATGAGAATGATACAGAGAATATGCTTGAAGAAATACGATGTAAAGCAATTGAGCGTGGAACAGGAAATGAAAATTTTAAAGTGACTGGGATTGCGAGACTTGATATATATCTGCCTCGTAGAAAAGTAAGTGCCATTGCAGAAAAGTTAGGATAAGTACCTAGGCCATAGGATTATGGCCTTTTGAGTACTATTTTTTTGTATCTAATTCAAATGTTTTCACTTCTTTAACTTTTAGGGGTGATTTGCATAAGAGATCTGTGTTGAGGTATAAAAAATACATTGGGGAGAAGTTCTGTAGGTATATTTTAGTTTCCCAGATAGATGGAAATAGCACGGCAAAGGAATATAATTGAATATAATATTGAGAGATTAGTAATTGTCTTTCCTTTAGGATTTAATGAGAAATGATCTTTCAATTAAGAAAAGTACATTAGATTTAAGTGTCTGTCTAGTTCAATTTGATTCCTTCTGACTTAACCGCTCACATTAGCAGTAAAGAGCAGATTATTTTTTTCTGTTGTGAAATACCTAAAGTTGCATTAGCATACGGGTATCACTTTATTACCACTATCATTGTTTGAATGACAGCTTTAATTTTAAAAAAAAAAAAGAAAACTTTAAGTGCGATAAGCAGCTTGAATGCGGTGTCATCTTTAGCTGCATGTGGATGATGATATGGAAAAGAACTGCTTTGGCTTTTAACCGTGGCATTTGGCAGGGTTCTTACAGTGGCTTTACATCATCCTCGTGTAACTCCTCCAGCCCAGGCAGCTAACTACACCTACTTTAAAGTACATCCAGTGTTTGAACTTGGAAAGGAGAGGGGTGGTTTTCTGTTGTGAAGGTACGCATCTATTCGAAGTCCAAAAAGCCTGACATAATTAGAATTCACTAAGTCTGGCTTTTTTAAAGCCAGGCTTCAGCCTTTGGTGCGTGTTATGCATGAAAACAGAATAATGAAGTGAATCTGACAAAGTCTGTGTCATGCAGGTCACCCTACTGGGTTCTGTGGCTATGTCTACCCTCATCAGCTCAACCCCCATGGGGCCAGCTGGCTGCTGTTCCACAGTCAGACATCCTGTGGATTGTTAGCATCATCTCTGAGGCAGTTTTGCCGAGGCCACCTGGTATTCTGCCAGGCCAGGTGCAGTGTAAGGCTGATGTGGGCCAGGGACTGATTTCCATCAGTCTGGACACAGCTGCTCAGCTTTGAAGGCTGGGAGAATTCAGCCCTGTGCAAGTCAGTTGCAGGACAGAGGACGGGCCCTTGGTTAAGGTTTTTAGTAGTGCAGACAAAGCCAGTCTCTGGCAAGCACAATTGTGATTTTCAGATGGTTCCCAGTTTTGATCCCACTCTGCGGGAGCAGCATCTTCCCCAGTGCTGCATGTCTTCATCCACTCTGATAACAGGAAAAGAGGACTCCCCTACTCAGGGGCACTTAGAGATTGTCATCAGCAACAGAAGTGG